CTAGAATTTCATAATTCCCCAATCCCTAATCTCTGGTAATTCCCTCATTAGTCTGAATGGTTCATTCCAGAATCCAAAATCTCATTGCAACAGCTCAGCTCGTGGATGAACCGACTGTTCAACAAGATTGTAAAAATGAAAAAAAAATACTGAAAACCGTGAGCTCCATCAGTAAGAACCACCAGAAAACAAAACAAGGTGTTCCACATAAGCATTCACGATGCATCCCTTTTGGCATTATTCTACCCCTCAGTTCTTACCCACGGTTGTCTCATCATCCCGGTATATGCATTCGTGTTCTTAATCACCAAGAGGATTAGGGACGGAATAACTTCCACCCGTGATACAACAGCTGAGCTCATGGTTAAACTGTTGCCACGAGCAAGAGGTTATCCAGAAATAGAATGAGTTGATACTTATTTGCATCCTATTAGCATATGTTCAGCGCAAACTTTTATCCCTGGAAAAAATCGCCGCAATAATAATGAAAATTAACGATAAAAATTAAATATTTACGTTGATTATTGAGCAATCACGTGTCCTAATCTTCATTATCTCCATTACCTCTATCAAGGGAAACATTGACATAATAAAATCATTGGTGCAGCTGAAAGACAATAACAGCGCTCTTTCAATAATTTCCACAAATTAGCTATTAATTGACACACGGCGACTGAACTGACGCCAAAATTTACCAATTACCTGAAATAATAATGGCTCATACATATGCATTTTTTATCTATCAGACGAGAGTATCGAGGTATATAGTGTGTGGTTGTACACATTGACTATTTAAAATCCATTCCCAATAAATCCCTGTGTGCACGGAATTTCCACGGGGATAATACCAGAGGAATATAACCGGCATTCGAGTTCACCGCCGGTCGAACGATTTACATCGCGGTTTCATACGCAAACACAGGGGGACGTGGATCCCCCCAAATTTTTGACAATCCACGACAATAACTCGATTCCAATCGAAAATCGCCACGAATTTTCCTAGAAATCCTATTGAAATTAACCAATTCACATCCATCAAACAATTTTTCTCAGTGATTTATCCTGATTCCTCCAACAATTCAACTTCAACTTTCATTGAAGCGAATAAAAAATGGAAAACAAACTTTAATTACTCGATTTTCAACATCTGCACTGAATTTCAGACGTGGAAATTTTAATACGGATTAACAACTCCGGTGGATGTAATAACTTGCTGAATTATTTATGCACATTTAATGGAAACAAACAAGCAATAACAATTGCAGGATGTTGGAAAGGGAAGAAATGGGAAGGGGGTAAGTAAATCAGAAACACATGTCGAGGGAAAGTGGTTTTCCCATGGATTTATCCGCGATGTGAAGCGTTGTTCTGGCACAGTCTGGTGCACTGTACTAGAGCGGATGTACAGTGATTACCCTGAGTCTTATCTACCAGGACACGCTACCTCAGGGAACCCCCGGAAATGCATAAGAAGGATTTTAGCTTGACGCAAGTAAGATACGTCCCTGGAGACAGCTCTGAGGTGAAGGTTCAGTCGGACAAATTACATTTTATCTCCTGATAAAATTCACTTGGCTCCCTCGGACTGACGATTATTATCCTAATAAGGACTTGATTGCTCTGGAGACTGGAGCAGACGATACAATTGACTCTGATTCGTTAAAAATACTTTTCCCACATACACTCTTGCTCAATATTCATTAGTGGCATCTTTTACTGGAGGACGCACGTCGACACGAGATTCAACTGCAATTAGAAAGGAGCTAGAATGAACAGCTGTCTGATTCTACCAGTGATGCACCTCCAATCTCATACAACCAGTGGCCTTAATCCATTTGTTTGATCCAACTTTGGAGAACTCGCTTTCCAATCCCACTAGGATTTCTTCATGAAAAATAGACAAGAGTATTTCTAGTACTTCAGTCTTATCCTGTTGTAAAAAATATGAGGACAATTTAATGCGCATCTGAATTATTTACGACGAATAAATCAATAGTAAATAAAACCAGTTACTCCTGGAGTAAAAGTGAAATACTCTTGTCCCCAGTGCAATCGATCAGTTCATTTTCTTTTTTTTTTTTCAAATTCCATGATGTAAGAGCGGAACATCTGCGCGAGGGAAACTTATTCTCATTATTTTACCCCCCTATCCTAGTTACTCATCTTGAACAGCCGTTAATTACCGTATGAAGAGTTTACTGTTACTCGTAATTACCATGTAATTATCCCCATTCGCTTTTATCATGGGAAAGCTGAAAGAGTTTCTGATCGAAAATATTAAGTCGTTGTAGAAAAATCCGTGAATAATCAGATTGGTTTTTTTTATTATCAGTCTTCTCGATAATTGAATTACGATATCACACCGGTGAAAAACTGATTTATCGTACCCGCATCCCCCATCGCTTCTAGCTGAAGTTTTGTGCATTACTTGCGTTACGTACTTGTACAGCATCAGTAAAAGGAGAAGCCCGCGGCAAAAGAGCGAGGATTTACGATGGACTCTAAATTTTACTGATAAAATCGAGCAAGTTTTACGAGTTTACCCCTCAACCCCATTTTCCCACCTTCCAACCCTCGAACTGCTCTCATTTTTGTCCAGAAGGTGTGTCTTTCATCACTTCCTTGTTCCAACATTTTCGAACTTGAATTAATGGCAGACTTGTCTCAAAAAAAAAAAAATTCAACCATTCGGCTTCCAATTGACGGATGGATTAATTCAATTGATGTTTAGAATCGAAGAAAGCTTTTTGTTTCTAGTCAATCAGCCGATTACTGGGGGAGTAAAACCACAGGATTCATAGCGAGTGAATAATTCACTTCAGTAATGTCACTGACATTCGAACGACCTCGTTTTATTCTCGACGAAAGTATCCAATAAGAGTTCTCTCGTATTTCATTGTAGGATGTCTTCGGAATGTACTCACGAATGAAAATTCCCCGTGCCCACATCCACTCACATGTCGAATAGCAATTGCATTTCTCTCCAGCTTCTGAACTGAATTTAAAAGAAAAGGGAGAAGAAAAAATGATGCTATAAATTTGCCATGAGTACCTCGCCGTGGTTTACATTCATATAAATTATTCCAATTATCCTGAAAATCCAATCAATCCAGTCTACTCAATTTTCCCTGTAGTATTTCCTATTAATTATTACTGGGAATGACCTTAAGGCGGAATGAAGTTGCCATTTGAATTTTCCGGTAATCCATTCCTATTATTTCCATAATCCTTTTTCGATCTCCAACAAAATAAAGGAATCGAGTGGATTTCCATGTGAACTCATACCGATCAGCCTAAACCCACTGTTGGCATATTCCCTGTCCTCTGAAACTTGAAAACGAATCGGGAAAGCTCGTTTTGCTGGAAAAGGGTGAGGACTCGAGGGCAGTTTCAGTCCTCGATCCCTTCCCTACGGTGTTATCCACTTTAGTGACTGAGCTGAAACCAAATCGAAGTTTCAAATTAAAGCCCCCGGTCGATCCTGTCCACTCCAATCCCTTCATTTTCCATAGTAATGTCCTCTGTCAATAGTTTATCCACTCCAGTTCAACAATGTTGATCAAACATTTCAATCCATCAATACAACCATGAATAATAATAGGTACTCTCCAAATAAAAATTACTATTTATTCTATTACTGCTTCGCTTCCAATTCTCCATCAATTAAATAAATTATTTATATGATTCCTTGTTAAAGGCGGTCTCTGGAAAAAGAACTAGTGAAAGTCTTGGATGTGTTTCAGGAGAAAATAAGAACATTTGCATCCGCTTTCCATGCGAATCACCCGTAAAAAATGATAATAATATTTTCATAAGATCCTCAAGTGCATGTTTGAAAAGTTGAGGAAGCCATACGTTGGGTTGAAGGGAACGAATGGTTTGTATGTGGAGCAGAGGGTTGGAAACGTAAGCCAGTGTTGGGCATGTATGGGCTAGACGTCTGGGAAACGATCTCCAATATGTCAGCCAATGTGGGAGGCCTCTCCCTCATACCCCAAGATAAACTCACAAAACGTGGATGGAATAAGTCTTGTACACTTTTTTCCCCCCGACCTCTAGAGTCACTCCTCAACTATTGAAAACGTTGAAAAATTGTAAAGCACACCTGAACAAAATTACATCCCTGTTAAATTTTTACATCTATCCCATTAATTCTCTATTTTTTTATGTTAAATACATAAAAATATATTCATATCTACTTTTCATTATTATTATTATGTCAATTGTTGAGGTATACAATTTTTTTAATTTTCAATTTAAAAAATCGGATTAATTGATTAATTTTTTCAATCTCTTTATCAAAAAATATATTTAAAAAATGGTCTTCATGAATTACTTTGTGTATGCTACTAAAAAAGCCGATTCTAAATAGATTTAATAGGCAATCTTAATGGGATAAACAAATATTTTGTATTGAAATTCCCCGTAAAATAAACGCAAAGTCCGGGAAGCGCGAAAAGTCTGAAAAAACGTGGGAAGTTTATTGCCCACATACTCAATTTTTCACTTCTTTTAATAGCCCGAATAATCTTAAAAAATTATTAATTCTGAAATTTAACGGTGTCATCACACCTGGTGATATACACTGGTAAATTTAACGCGGCAAAGCTCACATATTAACGATAACCAGTTTTCCTGAAACAACAAAAAAGCCTCTTTTTTCCCAGGGGATACAGCGATAAGCGACTGGGCCAGTGCCCGAACCGTTATCACCGTCCATTCAGTTATTTATTCGTTCGTTCCCCGTTGCGAATAGCTTGTAAAAATTTGTGAGATCGTTATCCGAACTCACTGGGCGTCTGATCATTATCGGGAATGAAATAAAGAGGAGAAATACATTTTCGTTTCCACCGGAAAAACTTACTCTCATTAATTCTCTCTAATTTTTCCCCGTTAAATAAACGCATTTCTCTCGCATGTGAAATTATTAAAACGATCTTTTGACTGAATTAAAAAATTCAGACGATCGATGGCCATAATATCGATTCTTCTGATTACAGGTGCAGATTAAAACAGTGGAGACGAGACTTGCCCCCTACATCTGTCATAATTACATTTCATAATGAAGCTAGATCGACTCTTCTGCGTACAGTCGTCAGGTAGTGTACGACCTCAACAGTGAATTGTCCATTTTTTACTTAAAAAAAAAAATGCAGTAAAGCGCTAAATCCTTTTACAAATCATAAAAACATTTTATTCGGTGATAAAAATTCTCTTGCCGATTTATTTCATTCGTTTTTATTGCTTGAAACCGATAAAACAACATATGGATGTCCAACCCCTCAGGAAATGGACTGAGTTTTCCATTGAAAATCGGAAATGAGAAAACATTCTTGGATACCACGTTGTCCTTTCTCTATTGCCAGTTGAGTTGACATTGTGGAATGATGGCAGACGATGGAATTTTTTAATCGCCATTCCACCACGTTCTCCACCGATGCCAATCCTTTAAGCCCTGGATCTTTTTTTTCCCACCAGCTCTGCCGAATAAATCAGAAAATTTTCCCATAACCGCGGAATTAATTAACTCATTATTCTTACTTGTCATCTTGAGGTTTTTGCATTCTTATCATTGGTATGAATTATTTATTTTGGGGGATTTCATTTCAGTGTCTTGAATAGAAGCCCTGAGCACCTGATCAAAGAGATTATTCTCGTTGATGACTTTAGCGATCATCGTGAGTAATTTATTCATTCATTAAAAAAATGTTGGAAAGTCGTTGTGTCTCATTCTGAAATGTTATTACAGCTGAGGATGGTGAGGAGCTGTCGAGAATTCACAAAGTCCGAGTGATAAGGAATGAGAAACGAGAGGGTCTGATGAGATCACGAGTTCGCGGTGCAGATGCAGCAACAGCCAGTGTTTTGACATTTCTGGATTCCCATTGCGAGTGCAATGCCGACTGGTTGGAGCCCTTGCTGGAGAGAGTTGCTGAGGATCCAAGTCGTGTCGTCTGTCCTGTCATCGATGTCATCAGTATGGATACCTTTCAATATATAGGTAAAAACAATTGATCGAAAATTTCGCGGCTGGAAATATTTTCGGCGATTTCTCGAGATGGATTAATTGATGGAGCTCTTCAGCTGGGGCTAGAAACATATTGCAGAATTGAAATTCGATTCTCGGATGGGAATCGATAGAGTCACTTTATTCTGGTGGAGTGAGGGGAAGGGTTCAATCATGGTTCGTTCTCGATTCAGGTGCTTCTGCAGACCTCAGAGGGGGCTTCGACTGGAGTCTAGTGTTCAAGTGGGAGTACTTGAGTCAACTTGAGAGGCAGTCGAGACAGAAGGATCCAACCCAAGCCATAAGGACACCTATGATAGCTGGGGGTCTGTTCGTTATTAATAAAGAATATTTTGAAAGACTTGGCAAATATGACACACAGATGGACGTGTGGGGAGGAGAAAATCTTGGTAAATACGCACATCTCACTGAATTATAATTATCCGTTCATTAAAAATAATGATGAGTTAGATAACTGGAGGTAACAATGACCTTTTACTTTTGCCATCCCCAGAAATATCATTTCGAGTTTGGCAGTGCGGGGGAAGCTTAGAAATAATCCCTTGCTCACGTGTTGGTCATGTTTTCCGAAAACGTCATCCATACTCATTCCCTGGGGGAAGTGGAAATGTCTTTGCGAGAAATACACGACGTGCTGCTGAAGTCTGGATGGATGACTACAAACATTTTTACTACAACGCTGTACCTCTGGCTCGCAATATTCCTTACGGAAAGTACGATCTCCTCACCAATTTGTTCTGACAATTTCAGAGGTGTTGAGTTTGATAGCTGGAGGAATTTCTCCTCGAAACTCGATCTTCATGTCTAGTCTGAGAATAGCTCGCAAGACAATGGCTCTCATCATTTTTTAGAGCTGAATTTCTGGAGAAACTAGAGTAGACTGTTGTTTTTTGTTTGTGATAATATTTGTTCGAAATGAATGGATGATTGCAAATTCATCTTGATGGAACAGGGATAATTATTGATTTTTCTTCTTCCAGTATTCAAGACAGATTGGAATTGAAACGAAAATTAGGTTGCAAGCCATTCAGTTGGTATTTGAAGAATGTTTATCCAGAATTGGTGATACCCACCAGCGAAGGGGGTCCAGGTGGTGCTCTGAAACAAGGTAGTACTTGTCTGGACAGTATGGGTCATTTACTGGATGGAAACGTAGGACTCTATCCGTGTCATGACACTGGTGGTAATCAGGTAAATACTCATTTATCCAACTCTATTGTTCTCGATGGGTGAAAGACTCTTGCAATTTTTAAAATACTTCTTGTAGGAGTGGAGCTTGACAAAGGACGGTTTAATCAAACATCACGACCTGTGCTTGACTCTCCCAATGTATGCAAAAGGCACGACACTTCTCATGCAGATATGCGATGGAAGTGAGAATCAGAAATGGCGACATCTCGAGGGCGGCTTAATTCGTCACTCCAGGATCCCAGTTTGCATGGACTCAAGATTCCATGCACAGCGAGGCATAACTGCTGAGAAATGTGACTCCAGCGCTGAATCCCAGCGGTGGCACCTCTACAATCATGGACATTAGTCGCTTCTGTGGAGTTAGCAATTTTTTATTTGAGCGATGATTATTTCTTAAGCTTCATTCATCCGCATTACGAGTGTTTCTCATTCTGTGGGGAGAAGAATTGACAGGGGACATTCGTAATTGCACCTAAAGCTCACGATTGCACACGGAATATTTCCAATATCTTCACTTGATGTGGTGATGGGAATTATTATCCTCTGGGAATCGAGACTTTTTATTAATTGATTCATTAATAAATGATTGACGAGGGAATTTGATGAAAGAGTTCAGGATCTCGATTGAGTATCGTTGAGCGATGATTTAGTGCCTGTGGCACTGTGTGCTGGTGACAGGCGTGGGATAGTGCGAGTATTGAGATTCAATGTGAAATTACTTTTAGCTGATTAAACAATTAGCTCATGAGGTGAGTGAGTCCCTATTTCCATGTGGTGACCGCTGGTTCGTCTGTTCATTAGATGGATGGTTAATTTTTTTCTGGGAACTGCGATTATGGAACGTCGGGAGATATTTATAGGTCAGTTGACTAATGTTTTTGTATGACGCATTTTCCCTTCACTTTTTAGAGAAATCATTTCGAGATTTTGAGACTTTTTCCAGCAGATGTACTTATGGCCAGAATATGCATTCAAGTGATGATTATTTTTCATGATTTTTCGTCATGTTTTTGAGACTCTATCGATTGGATAGAAAATAGTTAATTTGAAAAGTGGTAAAAGTGTTCAGTTAGATTGGATGAAAAACAACAATTGCATATTAACGGAGGTGACCGGAGTCATTCACCCGGGATAAAATATCCCGGACAAAATCCCCTAAAAAAAATCCCCCGGGAAATCTCCCAAAAACAAAATTATTGCGCTTTTTCGTCTTTTTGAGTCGTATAATCATCCGGGCGCAATATGTCTGTGAAAAGGTTTATTTCGTCATTACAGTAGCTGTTGTTTTTTTTTGTGGATCGTACTTCATGTGGATGAGGAACTACGTATTCTATTTACGCTAGGAGAGCTCGCGTTGAGGTTTTTTTTTTACTTCTGATTTAGTTGATCCGTTTGTTTGCTTACTGTATTATTTGTTGTGGTTTGACTTTTGAACTGGGGATTATTCGAGATTGACTATTCAAGATTACTCGACGAGAAAGAGACAGAAAGAGAGATTGAATATTTGCGTTGAGGAATTGGTTCAGTGGTCGGCGAAATGCAGTCGTTAGTCCGTCGTTCAACGTATAATTTTATGGATTTGTTTTTTATCTTTATTTTTGGGAGATTTCGGCCGGGAGATTCTTTCTTAGGGGATTTTTTATGAACTCCTAGAACCATTTATGAAAAGATGAAATGTCTTAAACACTTTCACCAATTTTCTCCGAAGAAAATAAAATCGTACTCTTCCTTTAGAATTCTCCTAGTCTTCTTGTTAATGTTTGTAAATAATACCGCGAATTTTGCGTGAATGTCTGCGGCGACGAAATATCCGAAACAAAAATCAAACGAAAAAATTCTTCCATTTTTGTCAATAATTTAACAAAAGTTTTTATCTCGCAATTTTACAATGCATATTTTTGTCTTCACAAATAATTAAGATGAAAATGTCTTCAATTTGTAAAACTGTCGCGCAACCGTTACGCAGAGATTTATTTTTATAATAAATGGTATAATTGTATTTTAGTTGTCGTCTATTGTTAATGATATACTCAACGATTTGATGAATAATGTTTCAAACTAATTAGAAGAATATTAAAAGGCGTGACATCGTATCAGTGTTTGAATGTCGTTGGAGTAATTTTAATATAAAAAGCTTTTTGTAATGAAAAATATTGCTAGGAGGGTGGATAATGAGTTGACATCCTAAGGATAATGCCTAAGACTTCCAAAATTTGTGAACAAGACGTTTGATTATTGAATGAACCATGTTCTGTGATTTTATGTTGAAGAAAAAAAATCAAAAATAAAATGAAAAAATCACGGCTTCCTCCGTAAATATAAAAAATACGGGATTCCCAGGAAAATATCAAAATGTTTTTATGGAGAATTCCATTTCCAGTGAAAAAAATCAAATTTTTTTATTTAGACTGTTTTATTGGTTCAATTCGTTTATAACAAACGAAATAATTTGCCAATAAATCAGCTTAGGTCATGCAAATAAAAACTCCATATTATGTAAATATGACCGTTTAAGTCTAGAAATAATCTAAGAAATTATACATATTAGTCATTAAGATTACTCATAATCCTGACGAGATAAAATGTAATATAGTGTGATTCGAATTTCTATGATGAGAAAAGAAAATTGGAGAGATAATTGATAAGACATGGGTGCAATATAACAATGATCCTGCAAAATTAATGCAGCAATGGAGTAACGATTTTTCCAGGAAAAAAAGGGGTCATGAAACCCAGAAAATTAAACAGTCATTACATGACTCCAGTACTGAATCAATTCATCGAAAAATCGTAACACATGCATTCCAGAGCTGAATAAACTGCGAGAATCAGCATTTATCCGATATTTTGCAACTGTATAATAATTACTGTATGTACATCACTGATATTATCCCTCATAACAAATACTCTAGCTGAGAAAACATTTTTTTTTAATAAAAATGAAGAAAACATTTATCTCCAGTCGCTATATTTATTTATCAAATGCACTGAAATTCTATTACTCCCCAAAAAGTGTTTTTTAAAATCAATATAACAATATCTCTGACGAAGCGGTAACTTATCATCGATAGATAAACCTCAGTGGGTAAAAGATCTAGTTTCGATACAACAAAAAATAGAAAAAAAAACTTCAAAATGCGCGTTACTTTAAAATATGCAGTGTCGATTGAAAATGACGAATATTCTCACATAAAAGTGCAATATCGGTATTTCAAAAGGAGAAGATGATTTTGCATGTGAAATTGATGGGTGTCAGTACCCATATTATTGCACAGCGGAATCATTTAGGACATTTAGCAGTCTCTTATTTAACATCATACGACAATGTCCTTGGCCGAGATCAATGAACAATTTAATGTAGCAATTGCGATAGCGAGTTGCTCTCCATCAAATCATGTCCCATCATTTCATATAGTACAATGTACTGCAATCAAATATTTTTTCCGTAGTTTTACCCAAAATCATTAACTCGAACCGCAACCGCATGATTTAATTCAGAGATACCTTCATACAACTCAACGCAACCTTCAAAATCGGTAATTACATCCAACGGTTTAGATCTGAGATCATCTGGTTTGAGCGGGATTTCCGGAATGAATGCGATTTTAATAAGAAGCTGGAGTGGATGAAACTCGTCATTTCCAGTTTCGCACTGCCCACAATGGCCCATTGTATCATGATTTTCCTCGTCATCCCAGTTATCTTTCTTTATACAAGTAAATTAATGGAGCTAATCACGTAATTGATAGGATTATTGGTCGAGGCTTATCTTCCTCAAGTGAATGAAAATTCTTAAAGTCCTATTTTCCTGAATTATTTTCTTGTGATTCTCCACAGCATGCTGGGGGATCCAGTGCTATCAATGCGAAAGCCTGAAAGATGACAGCTGTACTGAACACGAAGTGGATCCTAGATACCTCCTACGCTGTCCTGTTACCCACAATTACTGTCGAAAGATTATCTCTGCATGTAAGAGTGATGACAGATTTTCTCTTATTTTGCAGAATTTATTCGCCATTCGGAGAGAAATAATTCGAATTTTACAGTTTATTTCAAGGATTCGAGCGAGACTTTTGTAGTTCGGGAATGTGCTATTCATGGATCAATCGTGGAGGATTGCTACAAGGGAAAATACAGCAAAGATAGCTATCAATACGTCTGTGAATGTAAAAATGCCGAGGGCTGTAATTCCTCTTCCAATTTTCACCATCAAAATTGGATTGTTTATAGTTGCATACTCCTTATATTTTTCTATGTCAAAAATATATAATATAAAAAAGGAGAAAACATCCCGGTGCTATAATTGATTAATATAAATACAAAAAATCGACGCGGGATTCCCCCCTCCCCGGTGTCACAAGAATTTTAAAGATGGCGGCGCATCCACTTCGCAAGTTTAAACAATTATTATAATTATCCATCTCCTCCAAATCACCGCTAATTTGTTTCAATGTGTTCTTTTAGATTGAACCATTTTTTAAAGACATCTGGAAGAGATTTCCGGTATTTATCCGCTGAGAATCGATGAAACACAGTTTTCTTCGCATTTCGATCGTTTCTTATCAGCCACTAATTTCGTCAAGTTCAACTCAAACGATACAGAAGCGTGATCTGGGATATAATCCCTGGTGGTGCCGATTACATCAATCAACGAATGATGCTGAATAGATTACGTGCGTGCCCTCGGTAGAGCCGACAGATCCGGTCTATTTTGCGTGCGTCGAGTCGGCATTGGCACGAAATAGCGATTTACAAATTATTGTTCGCGCTTTTCTGGCGCATGAATAAATATATTGAATGAAATAATCATTCAATATCGAATAAAATAATTTGAAATTAATGAAAATAAATTATTAGCCGGTGAGAAATCGGGAAGGATGATCATGCTGTTTTCACCGTCTCAAGACTGATAATAATGTGAGTCGGAGTAATATTAAAGCCTAGTAGATATTGTGGGGCACGAGACGTGTTCCATGTCACAGGAAAAGAGACATTATCCACTTCATGAGGTTCTCTGTATGTGACCCGCAACCACTTTACGCTTTTATTCTATAAAATGTATGGCCAGTGGTGTGATACCACATTTTTAGAATAATATTGCAATTTTCGAAGCTCAAGTTTATCAAGATCCAAAGAGATTGATTTTAACTAATTATTCTTGAGGGTATCTTAGCTGCCGATTCTTTATTTATAAATACAGATCAAAAATCGGGAAAACGCAGCTGGGGGATTAAGAAATACAACGGACCTACAGGATCGGCTACACGCCATAAATTCGCATTCAAAAAGATTCAAATTCCCACAAGAAACTTGAAATTATCTTCACAGAAACGAGATTAGCAACGCGTGATTTGAAAACAATAAATAATTTAAATAAATCTCCGAACTCAAGATACTCGACACATGACGGTATCGCCATTTTGTCGGTAAATGCCTAGAAGAAAAAAGCTAAAAAAACCGTCTATAATACATAAAAATCGGGATGGCGGCCCTTTTCTAGACATTTACCAAAAAATCGGTTCACGCTCGGCTAATATTCCCCAAAAATGGTAATTTCTTTCTTTCATCTGTGATAATGAATTTTTGAATATCGATTAGCTAGACCCCCACTGAAAATCAGATCATCGGATGGACTCCCCACTCCCTTCCAAAATAGGAAAAACATTATCATCCGTTGCGCCGATTCCCCTAGAGTCGCCAACAGACTTTGAACATCCGAGTGTTGGTGTTCAACACCAACTCGAAATATATTTGAAACATACAGGGGTGGTGGGAGGATCGTACCAACCAGAAACGACTGGCATCAACAGTGCTATCCGAGCTCTAGAAGCCCTGGGTTCGGTAGGTCGCCCCCTCTCCTTCTAGTAATCAAAGTTTATCACTATTCATCAATTGAAATCCATCGCAATACCGCCTGTCAATTGTTAAATCGAGCATTAGTGAGCATTAATAACATTTTCATTTTTTTCTTCAACCAGAGATCAGTTTCGAGTGAGTATTTTTTCGAGAAGAAGAAGGATGAAGGCTCATATTGTCATCGCGATATGCACTGCCTGCGTGTTTCTGGGTCAATCCGGTGAGTTTTGTCAATAGTCACTTTGTTTGATTTGTTAATTATTGGCTTTCCTATTCAGTCGTTTTTCCCATTTTTCAATTCGATCTGAAGAAATCCAAGCATGCGCTCTCTTTGTTTAGTTTATGCAATTGTTCAACCATTTATGTTTATATTTTATAGTTAAATGGAGAGTAGTATTTTTACGGCTTAAGTTTGATTGCGAGTTGTTGAATTAAAAAAAATAGGAACCCCGATTTTATTTTGAATTATTGGGATTTCCCTTTGTCTCCGCACCCTCGGATCACCCCTGCGCAGGTCGGATCGATGACGACGAACGTGCGCGCGTCTACCCCTGTAGAATAAGGTAAAATACCAAAAAACTCATGGGATCGGACGATGAATGAAAGAGATGGACGAATGGGTTTTAATTAGCAGAACGTTTCCCGGAGTTTCTTAATTAATGATAATTACATTGCGCGCATGTGTCGACTCGGTCGGTTGCACTATAAATTTTCCTCTGCATTTCAGAGGCTGAATTTGGAAAATTTTCGTTGTCCCGGGTTTTCCTCGGATTTTCGGAAATTATCGCGTTGAAATATCAAATATCCGATTGTTTTTCTGGACAAATTACTGGAGAATGAATAAAATCGTCGATTCTTCGGGTGAATTGCTCCTTAGAATTGTCGTAAAGCCGAAAAATAAAATCGTGTTTGGTTTTGTCATTAGTTGACTGGATAGGAGAGCCCGTTGGCGTCATTGGGGAAATTTTCTAGGCCATCTTTGTAGGTACTGGCTACATTGATTTTTAGAATAGCAGAACAAACCCCGGAGTTTGTCACTAGGTTGAAGTTCGTTGTACCCAACAAATTTATTTTTCCAACATGAAAACAATTTGTCCCTCACAATCAGCTGAACTCCGTATCACCTCTGTAAATCCCCATGGCTGTGGGGATAAAACTGAATTCATGATGAAAGAATAACCCAAATTTAGTATCAGTAAATATCAAAGTGAGAATATGTTATCGTAAAAAAACATCCGTTGGGAATTTATATCTCATTCATTCACTCCCCGGGCTTTAATCAGGGATTCTTGATAATTTAGTCATTATTATTTAATCTCCACTATTATCATAATTTTAATTGCAGGAGTGAATGCATTGGAGTGCTATGTTTGCAACAGCCACGAGGACACCCGGTGTGCGAGACCAGTGCCTCCTGATGAATTATTAAGAAGCTGTGATAATCTTGGACCTGGAGGAACCAAATACACCATGTGCCGGAAAACCGTGCAGTCAATCGAATTTGGAGTCAATGGGCGTACGTTTTATTCCATTAATCGTCCAAGATAACTCACGATTTTATCATTCACATAATAAATCCAGGAGTAGAATGATGAAAGATCAATGGAATTCTTGCCTATTATTTTCCTCACAATGCAAAATTTTGTAATTTTTTATTATCAATTTCAGTTGTACCAGAGACTCGAGTAATTCGAACCTGCGGTTATGACGAGTCAAATTATAAAGGTCGTTGTTATCAGCGCGGTGGTTTTGGTGGACGACAAGAAGTTTGCTCATGCCTCACTGACAAGTGCAATGGAGCAACAACGATTATGAATAAATCAGCGCACTTCATCCTAATGTTCCTCTGTGTTGTCGCAACAGCCTACCGTAGCTTTGTCGGTAATTAAATGCACTAGATTACAGAGAAACAATTGCAGATTAAAAAACCGTTGAAAAATTTAAGATTTAAAAATGAGTGAGGAGCATCGTGAGAGCTGAGTGATATGGATATGGATGATAATTCATCTGATGTTGATATTGCCATTTGAAGAGAATCAAAAAATAATATTGACGTTGTTTATTGCGTTGTTGATCGATGCGATGCATCTCCTCATTCACCAATACCAAAAAACAGTCATTTTCTCCTTTTTTTAGTAACGAAAAAGTTATAATTAATTCTAAAAAAATATTGCAAATAATGTGAGAGTGAGTAGAGGAGAATGAGAACTCATTTTGTGCACAAAACTTCAATTATTTGGAAAACTGAATTCCGATTTCTTGACGATTTCAAAGGGAAATTTCCAATGGTCCTAACAATCGATATGTCCAGAATCAATTAGAAAAATAATCAACTATCGACTTCTCATTCCACTTGAATTAATTGTACCCTCAATTCAATTACTGTGAATTGAGATGAAGAGAATTGCACAATTCTGCATGGATGAAAAGAGAATTGATCGTAATCACCGCTAATGCAGTTCTAAGATTGTGAGAATAACTTATTGAATATATAATATTAAGTTAATGATTAATTAATTCATTGAAACGGGCCAATTCTCGTGTGTGGGATGTTATTTGCATCGCCATTCGCCTCGTCTATTTCCTCACACTGCCTTGGAAAGCGATCCCTTACGAATACAATTCTCCAATCTTTGCACTGGAATATATATCCGAAAAAATGACCAATTCACACCAGTAATGATCGAGAAGTGGCTGTACTTTTTTTACTATTGATTTTTTGCCTCAATTTCTCAATCTATCACTGATGTGAATCGATGAGGATTTTTCAGTGCAACGGAATGGCGAAAGTGTCTTCACAGGAATTGCCAATCTGCTCGGCACTGTTCACTATTTTATTCCACGAAACAATGAAGCGTAAATTTAAAATTTCAAGGAAAACGAATCGTTCTGTGTGTAGACTTTGAATTAAATCAAATACAATGATTATTTAATTGAACTGGAGTATGTTATAAAACTGATAAAAATAAAAAAAAAGGTTGGGTAAAATTAGAAATACTTTGTCGTTAATTTACTGGTGTTTATATTAAATATTAAATCCTTGCGTTAAGCACAGTGTATTCAATGAATTTTTATTTATGTCTCTACGTATATTTTTGAATGTTATCACCCAAAGAGAATGTTCTAAATACTCAAATGTTTTTAATCGAAAAAACGCTTTATCGTTGTTATCAGTAGAAACCGCTTATTTCACGTGTGTCACGATTTCAATAATTTTCCGTCGCACCTGCAATTTCTTGGCAGTTACTCGTCATAATTCTCTGACTCCTCATGGAGTTTTGTCATTGTCATAAAAGAGGGAAATGAAAAAGCTTGAAAAATTATCCAAAGAGTTGAAGAAATATTTCCTTCTAACCCAATACTTCCCACTCTTCTTCAAGATTAAATTCAATTTTTCAATCCACCTCGCATCATCGGAAGAGTAAAATCATGAATTTCCTTGCTGAATCAGCGGAAATATCTCCTGATCAGTTGTCCCCGAAATTTCAGGTAATGCATTTGATTACTCACAGGTTAACTGTCAATCTGTCAACGAAATAATGAAAGAAAAATCTGTGATTTTTCCGGGTGAATTCAGTGATGGTTTACCCTGGGATTCCAGTTGAATCGCCGAGTCGATCCACTCTAGAACCCCCGGGCATTACTCCAGCTATTTATCAAACTCCCTCATCAACTCCATCAGTGATTTTGCCCCAACAACAGCTGGTGTACACCTCCTACAATGCATACTGTGGAGTTCCCCAAGTGCAATCGACATTCCCAGACATCCGAAGACATGCCGTCACCAATACTTCCCATTATAATTTGAGAACTCAAGGTTTGACATCCCCACTCACATCACTTCCTTCAAAGATATAAAAATAACAAAAAAATGTTATTCTAGACTATCGAAGTATCAGATCTCCCAAATGGAACCAGAAATCACGTCCTCGTTATAAAGAATACCCTCAAGTGGCACTTCAACAACCGATTCCTTTCCCCGCACCGGTTGTCCTGTATGATCCCCTCCAAAATCACCTGACAGCTCCACTGAATCCTGTCTACCTGCCAACCCCGACTTGTTACAGTCAGCCCTGTCCGACCGAGACTTTCTCAACGTACAATCAAACCGTCATACCCCACACGTATTACAAACCCCCCGACCCCCAACAATTCTGTGTCATCCACGACAGACCATCTGGTCAGTCCCAATTACCTCATCAAGGTGTTCAACAAACCCAACAAACACCCTATTATCTCACCCCATCGACTTACACCACAACAAGACCCTATAGAAACAGCTCCACTGGTTTTTCCTCCAGTCCTGGAGCTGCTTCATCTCATGGACAATCAAACTCCAATTTTATGGATTACTCCAATGATAAAATTGCACCAGCCCCTGGGGCTATGAAGATTCAGCACTCTGAGCTCCTGTATCCGGAGAGAAATTCATTGACGTCTGAAAATCGTTCAAATCTGAATGAATCAGTCTTTGAGGTAATTCAATTATCGCTTAATTATCTCAATAGGCTAATAGATCATTTGACAATCAGCCAAAGAAATAATTGTATTTACCTAGATGATGGAAAATCCCAAGGCCGAGAATCCTCCCCACACCCCTACAAAGTCCTCTTCCAAGCTGGACAAGTACTTCGACGATTCTTCGAATTTCGATTTTACGATTGAAGCCGAGAAGATGGTGTCAGCCTTGTGCAATACCTCTCTAGAGCTCGACAAGAGCGAGGAGCCCGCAAAAATTCCCTTGCTGAAACCCGAGGGTATCTCAAAGCACTACAAGTCGTGGTACCTCGATGATTACCCCAAGTCATCAAGAACAGTAGAAACTCAAACATCTCACCCAGAGGATCTACAGTCTCCCGAGGTCATTCGCAGAATGATCTACACAGGTTGCACTGAAATGGAGAATCTCCTGACCCCTTCGAACTCCAGTTATCGAAGGAACTGGCTATTGAGTCTATCCTCAGCGACAAAAATCGCCCTGTCGAAGTCCTCCACATGCTTCCCCATCTACCTGAATGACAGAGCATTCGGTCAAGACCTCATGAATTCATTCCTCCGGATTAGCAACGGTTGGCTAGCCCTGGACAACTACCTGAACAAACAACCGAACCTCTCCCTCTCCCAGAAGTTCGATAAAGACCTCCAGAAGTCCTTCAAAGCTTGGGAGTCCGCCACCTCTACTCTTTTAGACAACATCACGAAGAACTTCAAGAAGTTGGACACGAGCTCAGAGGAGCCCTTTCAAGAGAATCCTTCGCACACCTCATCCTTCCCCGGAGACGTCTCGCTCTACGTAAACTACAATCTCTTCAGTAACTCCCCGGGCCTGATGACGACCTCCCAAGTACTCAAAACAAATCGCAACGTCTCCTATCCAATGCTTCAAACCAACGAGCAAAAGCCCCGATGGCTGTCAGTGGCAAGAGAAAGCAAAGTCCGTACCAAATGGACAATCACCGAGAATTCCAGGAACGTGAATGACCTGCAGACATTTCCAACTCACATTCAAAACTTGATGATGCCCCAGCCATCGGAGAGTACTAATATCGAAACGACGATGAGCATCTGGAGCCCCTGCATTTCCTCTGCCCCTTTATACTCAAATCTCCTTTACCCAAATCAGAATTCCTCGAATGTGACTCTAGTCGGTCAAATGGAATCGAAGAAGATCGATAACTCGTCTGCGGAGGGTGAAACTATTAATCTATCCGCTTGGTTTGCGAGCATGAGGAGCAGAGACGACTCGCCTTCTCCAGGAGGTCCTCAGAATTTCTGGGGTACATCCAAAACCTCCATGAGCCTCCGGGAAACCCCGAAGAGCACTTTCGACGTCGTGGGTACCTCCAAGATGGACGCCAATCGTCAATTGAGGACACTGAAGAACATGAGGATGATCCAGAGTGCTCCCTGGACTGCAAATCAGATCCTGGAGGAGCAAAATTCCACGAAAAAAAAACCAGACGACAGCATTAAAGATACGCAGGTCTACATGAAGCCTGGGAGCTACAACGTCCCGAAGAAGAGGGGCCAGTCGAAACGCTCTCGAAAAAATGACTCCTCAGGGTTTAAGAAGAACTGCCCTCCAGCTGAATCGGTCCTTAAGCCTCCAACAACATTCTTGGAAGCGTATCGAAAACCAGATGCTGGGGAGAACCCCGAAATCACTTCGGAGAAAGGGAATTTCTCGAATGTCACATCATCATCGTCGTCTACATGCTCTCAGGATGTCCGGAGGGATGTGACTTGGAAGGCAGCTTGTGCGTCAGCTGAATTGCTCCTCGATGCTCTGAATGTGAAGAAAAAGCCGAAAATTTTCGAGCGGAAGGATGAGGACTTCCATTTCGGTTATGAAGCTTCTGAAGAGGAGGAGGATGAAACGCTAAAATCGATTGTTGTGGACTCGAATGGGAGTGGAAAGGAAGGAGAAAAGAGGACCAATGTAAAGACAGACTCTTGGTTGATCAAGACATTGAATAATGCAGCTAAAAATGGAGAGAATTCGACAAAATGCTCGGGGGATGAACAACGGAATAGCAATCGAATGAGAGAGCCTTGGGCAAAGCCTCAGGATAATGATAGATCGTTTTCCCTGGAGACGAGTCATACTGTTGCTGTCATGACGCTTGTCGATGCCGTGGGGAAGGCAACCTATTCAGAGACTGTTCGGAGATTTTCAACAACGACTAAACCAACATCGTCGAAGTTCTCGTCACAAAAATGTCTGGGGAGTTCTGAATCTCCCAAGGACATGCCCATTTGCAGTGTGACTGAGGATGATGAGAGGGTAGAGGAAATTGGTGCCAAGGTAGCTTCTGAGAAATCTGGGAAACCGAGAAAGGGTAAGGGGCAATCGAATGATAAGGGATGGTCTGTTTGGTATAGTTCGAGGAGAAAACAGCAGAGTAACTCCTTGGAACCGGCTACACTGGAGAAGCTCTCGAGTATTTATCGGATTCTGTGGAAGATGGATGTTACGAGGCTATTCAAGTTTCCAGCGGGAAGCTCCAAGGAGACTGAGAGCTCATTCAATTTTACTGTAAGAATTCGAATGAATTGTTCGGTAGAAAGAGAATAATCGGTGTAATCTTGAATGGCTGAGCGATTTTTTCCTTGGAAAACTGAGACATTGCACTGTTTTCAGATTGAAGATTATCGAAAGGTGATCAAGAGTCCAATGTTTCTGGAGACTATTGGTTACAAACTGAAAAATCAGGTCTACAGGAAAGTTGAGCACGTGATCAGGGACTTTAGGAAGATTGTCCATAATTCAAAGACTTATCACAAGGTTTGTAATTAGTTGAATCGATCGTTAATCGTTTGATAATGACAGAGAAAAATCTTCTTTTCAGAATGACAAAGATTGCACTGAGAAAATCGACGTGTTATCCAGGAAACTGGAGGAGTTGGTGGACCAAAATTTCGCTGATGATATTCAACCGAAATCTATGTTATCACAAAGTATATCGGCCATTCCAGCTGCCTCTGGCAGTCCGAAACAGATTGACGAGAAAGAAATAACTGCGTCGACTCGACGAAGTGCACCGAATCCTACACTCACTCGTTATTTATAATATTGTTGTGTTGTTTATTTTTTCTTGTGATTATCATTCCCACCCACAACTAGATTTTTCATACTTCAGATGCAATGATAATTAGAAGAATAATTCCCAGAATAATGTTGTGTGACGAAGGGAAAAGTGAATTCGATTTATTATATCTCAAGTTTTTGTGAGAATGGAGAACATTTTCAAAATCATGTTAGAAATGAATTTGTGATTAGTGATGAATAAGAGATAGAGATAAATACAAAGTCTTTTAATTCATTCGAGACTTCTGGTATATTGGCGGATTTAAAAATTCAAAATTACACTCACCCATTCTCCCCAGGTGACCATTCCCGCCGATACCGTTATTCCAATTTCATATGCACAATCAACAATCGCGAATAAATGCCTCAAAAATTCTCGGCAATTAATAAAAATACTGACATCAACACACATAAATGTCACAGATAATTTTTCACACTATCTATCACTCAAATTTTCACTGTCCACCTCCAAAAAAAATGCAAAATGTCTAATAAAAGAAACAACGATAAATTTCACGAAAAATCTGAAACTTCATTCCCCACTTCATCCAGATGTCGCCATAAAATGGAGTAGTGTAAAAAAAAATGGCGGCGGTGTAGTCCCTTTGGTTCCCGGACCCTCCACAAAATCTGAAAATCGAAAAATCCCCCGAAAAAAGATAAAAATCATACGACTAGATTTTACATCATTCGAAATTATAAATTACAAATGAAATAATAGAGACCAATAAAAACCCGACGAATCCATTGCAATCCGGATATAACTGATCAACTCCCTGTGATTATCCTCCCCCATAAATAGTGATAAACCCCAGGGAGCGATCACTAATAAAAAAAAAAGTGTATTTGAACTAAAAAATGAATTGGGAACTGATATCCGAAGTGAATGATCAGCTGAGTGAGACCGAGCTCCGTTATTACAACGACATATACGTCTACTGTTGTGACAGTTCTGATCCAGAGAATGTTCCAGTGTTGACAGCTGCTGAACTCTATCGTTCCGCAAATTTGCCACGTGAAGTAACATTGAAAATCCTAGAAATATGTTCAGGTCCAAAGTCAAATATTCATATGGGACGTAAGCAGTTTTACTGTTCCTTGAAATTAGTGGCAGCTCATCAATCAGGTATCGACATAAATAGAGACCTAACGACAGACACGTTGAGCATGATAATGGCATTGCCTAGATTTTCATGGCCAACATCAGGTGACGAGGATTCAAAGAGTCAGAAAATAATGTCAAGATTACCTGAGAGTACAACTGAGAGTGAGAGTGATGCTGAGTCCCCAAGAGAGACTGGAGGTAGTACAGATTCACCAACTCCAACGAACAGTGTCACCCAGGAAAGAATCGATGGACTATTGGGCTCAGAGACTATTTTGGATTCAGCATCGGGTAGTTGGCAGGGTCTCTTGGTATCTGAGGAGCAGAGACAGCTCTTGGGTACTGAGGAGGAGAGCTCAGAGAGACACAGCAGTGATGATGATGGCGCGAGTTTTCCACCTGATGAAGTTTGGGTGATAAGCGACGAGCAGAGGGAATATTATGCAGCTCAATTTGGCAGATTACAGCCTGATCCTGATGGCCTGCTGGCTGGACCAGTTGCCAGGACATTTTTTGAAAAATCGAGACTACCAGTGGCCGAGTTGAGACGCATTTGGCAGCTTGCCGATGTCACCAGAGATGGTGCATTGTCATTACCTGAATTTTATGTGGCTATGCATCTTGTTGTATTGAGGAGAAATCATGTTCCACTTCCTGATGTTTTACCAGTGAGTTTAGCTATTTCGTTGGGTGCTGTAGGGGCTAGTGTTGGAGCGCCACCACCGCCACCACCACCACCACCTCCACCAACTCCACCAGAAAGTGTCAAGACTGAGGGTGATGTTGTTGCTGGCATTCAGACTGGAGAGAAGAGTAAAGAGTGGACCAAATTTGTAGACTCACCCACTGGGAGTGGATCTCTCACTAGTCCTGGGCCTAAACCTGTTAATTTTGATTTTCAAAAAAGTGCAGTGGAGAGGGATCCCAAGATTTTACATCCTGTGCCATTGAGACTGACACCTGAGGCAGCGATTTTGGCGTCTGGAGCTAATGGGAGCAATGGCGGAGTCATTGGGGATGAGGATGTGCTGGGGGTTGGATTGGTGCAGAGGGTTGCAGGAAAAAAAATAGAGGAGGGAATCGTTGTGACACCCAAAAAGGATCCACCACCACCACCACCACCTAGGCCCTACCGGACGCACACCAGGAGTTCTAGTCTTGATCTTAATAAATTAGGTAAAGGAAAAATAGGATTTTTACATATTTTCATAATTACATATTATATATTAACCATATTTTTCTTCAGGTAAAAATGGACAGAATTTTCTGGGAGCACCGCCATCAGTTCCGCCGAGAGTTTCACCGGGATCTGTAAGATTTTTTGTACTTTGCTTTGATGATTAAGTGAGTTTTCTTTTGAATTGTTAATTTACATCAATGTGAATTACAGAGCTCACCAAGGAAACTAGTTGGCCAAAAAAGCGAATGTGACAATCACAGGACGGTCAGCGAGAGTCAAGGATTCGTCGCTGATTTTTCACACTTCTCACCAAAAGGTGATGACAATACTGGTAACGTGGAAAGTGGGACTACATCCCAGAGTCAACAGTTTGCTGGACACTGCGGTGCATTTCATATCTATAGGAAGCCTAGTCCAAGTAATCAATGATTAACACCCTCTAGTACATTTATTTTCTCCTAATATCTTCGATCATCTAACAAAATCATTTAGGTTCTGTGCCTGAAAGTTTGAAGACATTCCCTGAATCTGGTTTCAGCATGAGAAATATTAATTCAGTTCTTAAATACAATTGAAAAAATATTTAGGAGAGGCCTAATTATCGGTATTGATTTCAGAACGTGGTGAAGGAGAAGATGAGACTGGAAAAGATGATACTGATAGCAGCAAACAATTAACCCTCGAAGAACTGCGTGAAAAAAATGCAGAATTACGTTCAGTTTGTGAAGAATTGACTCGTGAATTAGCTAGTGCACTTCAAGAGAGAATTAATCTACGTGCAAAACTACTTCTCATAACCTGATCAACATTTATACACCCATGTATTCATCACAGTGCTCGTTCCCTATCCTCCTAATTTCGTTCTTTTCTCTACTCCCGATTTTCCCTTTCGGAAATTTCAAAATATAATCAATTATTGTATTCTTTTTTTTTATTTATTTACACATGAAGGAGGGATTTTTCCTCCAGTTATTATTTTGACACTAGAATTTTCTGGATAATCCACTGTTCTGCCAACTCACGTTCCGATTGAAGACTAATATATCAGATTAATGAAGGAAGAAATAAAGCCTACGAAATGTATATTGGAATTATATCAACTAATGGCTGTGTTTAACATCTAAACATTCTTTAGAATGAATTATTTTTTGATAAGTGCAGTTTTTATTGGTTTCAATCTCGCTAATAAAAAATTGATGCAATTTATGAATCCATACTATTATTTCAATATCGTCTTCAATAGTCCATTAAAAATCATGTGATAATGATGGAATATTCTTTCTAAGATATGTTTGGATTGACCACAGCCCAGTCTCGATTTTTTGGCTCAACAAATTAGGGAAAACTGTAATTGAGCCAAAGGGCAAAAATGTATTTTCGTAATTCTTATTACCAGTGTATAATACCAATCAAAAGCAAAACTTATTTATTCGTTGTAACACTGACAAAAAAAAGTAACAAGTTTGATGAAAGAAAATAATTTACAAAGCAAAAGTATTGATATTTGCTGTGTTATCGAACAATGAGAATGAAATAATTATTTAATTATCGCATTCTTTTAACTGTTCAAATGCGACTGGAATATATGTATATAACTATTAGAGATGGAAAGAAAAAGATATTAGGGATGAAAATATGTTCGGGAGTGAAGGAATTTGCTTTCTGTATGGCAATGATCAGCCAATGAATAAATAATGAATAAACAGCTTTCTCTACATAGACAAGTAGATAAAAAAAACCTGAATTGAATTGAACAGTTATCTACAATTGAAAGAATTTTTTGTGATAAAAATGAGAGGAGAAATAAATATAACAAGAATAAAACCATGATTACACCGATATTAACTTATTATTTATTATTTCTAGACTTCTAATTCTTTGGAACTGTAATAAAATCTCTAATCGCCATCAGAACTAGATGACTCATAAGACACGAGTGAAGTATTGACATTCGATGAACTGGAGCTGTCAGAATTACTCAGAATTTTTTTCTGTTCAATTATTTGTGGTTTACTCTGAATGCCTAGATTTCCTTTTCGTTTAGATTTGGATTTGGAGACAATTGAGACCAATCGTTTGAGTGACAGAGTTTTGTTTCTCTTTGGTTCCCTTTTTTTGTTACGCATGAGAATTCTCGCCAATTTAACGTCATCCTCATGCTCATCTACTAGATCCAATTCGACTCCAACACTCTTCAATAAAGGAATTTCTTTTTTCCTCTCTTTGTCCTCGTTCTTTCGACTCCTGAAAGCAGCACGAAGTGCGGCATTTGCCGAATAGTCGTCCTGCCATCGCGATTCATTTTTAGCTAGAATTTTGTTTATAGCTGGATCCTGTGTTTTCGATGCTTTCAAGTCATCCACACCGTGTTCTAATTTGAACATTGCATCATCGTACAGTCTTTTTGATACTTCTTTTGTCTCGGGTACCACTTGTTCATTTTCCTTTGGATCCCAACGGTTTTCCTGACGACGAGCTCCACTCTCTATGACATACGTTAAATTCTGAAAAATTAACGAAGAAAATTACTTAATATTTTATCAGCTGATTGAACTCAACAATAATAGCAGACATACTCCTGGATCGGTTTTTATTTCGAAATGATTGTCACACAAATGACATTTCATTCGAAACGAGTACAGCGGAGTGCTGTAGTACATTCCGATTTTTTTCTTCTCAGCATTGTAACGCACTCCCATGCCAATATGATTTCCACAGCCCTCACACCAGATATTAAAGGGCATTTCAAATCTAATGATGAGGATTCCCATGTGGAGTTTACGAGCTCGTTCTCGAAGAGCATGAGTACCCAGGAACTTGTTGAGACCCCCGACCTTGGGGTCATAATCTGGAGGATAATATAAATTCTGTCCCTTACGTTCACCCATTGTTTCTGGAAAGAAAAGTTAAATAAATTTTTGCTGAATATAACCTAACTTTTTATTTTTAATTAATTTATCTCCCAGTCTCACCTGAATTTGTATTAACAAAACTGCTGAACGTTAATTAGTACACAATTATCTCTAAAAATAATTAAGACCGTTGAAATCAGTGCTTGAATCTTTACATTCAAGTTAGATTGATAACATTGACAGAAAGTTGTATTCAGCCCGTGAACATCGATACTTTGCAGAATCGATACAGCTTTCGATAGTCTCAATCGATCCTTAGGTCGACATTTCTTCGCTGGTATCGATATTTACAGTTTTTGAACAGAAAAATATGTCCGTAAAAAATATAAACACTTTGTTCACGAAAAAATTGTTTATCAATTTTTATTTGATCCTCATATTGCTTCCGCGCAAAATTTCAATTTTCATCTTTAAAACAGGTCAACAGAAGGGGTTGGATCAGCACTGAGTTACATTTGATCCATTCTGGATATCCAGCTGGATCATTATGACGAAGTACTTTGCCATCGCACTGAAAACCTGAAGACAATAATAAAAATGAACATCTCAAGATTGTAAAAATAAAAAATATCACTCACTGTAAACAAAAGCGATGAGTGAAGACAGATTATTCCAAATAAAGAGAATTTCAGTGGCTTCTGGAGAATTCGTAACGATATAATTTTCACCTGTCCCATCAGTAATTCAATAATTAATAATTCAATGATTAATAATGCAATAATTAATTCAATTTTTCTCGTCTCCTCACCGTATTTACCACGTATACAGGATAATATTCAGTAATCATATGATGAAATGTATTCCCCATCGCATTCGCCTGAAGAACAACATCATTGATCACTTCATTTGTTATCAGTACTTCAATAGTATGTATTATCAGCCAAGTTATAAATATGGCAAGTTTCAACGAAATGGTGAATTTGTTCATAGAATGTAGACAAATGACGTACAAGTACGACGCCATGTCAACGAAGTGTGTCAACAGAATAAATAACATTGGGGCTCGGAAGTACTGTTCTATGATTTTCAGAATACCTCGAAGTTCCATGTGTACTTCAGCAAGTACTCTGAGACACATGATTTCATTATCACAACTGCAAGACCTAGAATAGATTACCAATTCACATGCTAGCGGTGTTGGAGTGAATATCAATTTACCTTCCACGATGAATATTCAATTGCGACATATTGATTGGTAATTTTTTGACACAATCATTGACAATTGATAGATGACGTTTCACATTTAAGACCGCACATATGAAGTACACGGTACAAGTATGAGGAAGTACTCGAAAAGTATTGAAGATGAACCATAAAACCATGCGGTCGAGTCCTACAATTGTTACGTCAAAAAAAACTAACATGTTGTAGGTGTTTAAGCAGAAGTACACACTATTTACTAGAAGTGCGAGATAATTGGATTTTTTCACTATTGTATCGTTATTCGTTTCAATTTCTAGAGCCCGTAATGAGGCTGATAGATCATTGAAGCCATTGATTATCACACGGAGAAGATCTTGAGAGAAGGCTGCATTGATCCATATTGACAGGATTGTTAAGAATTCCAGAATAATACTGAGAGCGTCGGCGATCATGACGAGAGGAGTTTCACAGGGTAATACATGCGTCATCCGAAATTTCATCAGGAGAATAAAAAGGACGACGTAAATAACACAAAGTGTACATATATAAATTGTCGCCACATAACAACGCACTAAAACTCTTTCATTGGAATATTTAAAAGACCATACACCTAGAATTTTGAAATAATAATAGATAAATCGGTTGAGAAATCGTCCGCAGGTTTTTCTATCGATAATCATTTTTTATTTTATTAATGTAATCAGCGAGATTTGTTGATCCTTCAATTAGCAGTCGGTTGATTATTATGCATCCGTAAAAAGATGGAAAATGTTTTCGTACTGATCCGCCTGACTAGAACCGTTCGCAAAGAAAATAGCACACATCGATTTTTTGCATACCAATTTCATTGTACCACTTATACTCTTCACGTTGATGATCCATCACTTCTGATGACAGTAGTAATGTACAATGCGATATCGTTGATAAATCGATTTCTTCCACTCTTATCGTCAATAATCTTAATCAACACCGAGGCTTTTGTGATTGATTTTGGATATCGAGTTGTATCATTATCACAAAATAAGTGGCCATTGCATTGAAAACCTGAAAGAAGCGATAAGTTTAATGAATTCATGATTAAATCCCCTGAAATAAAATATTACACTGCGTAACAATGATGAATTTAAATCCATCAATCCGTATAGACTAAATTTCATTGGCTGTTGGATTATTCGTAGAGATATCACTTTCGCCTGCAGTGAAAAAATATGTGTAATGGTTTTTTTTAATATTAAATATTCCATGATTCCTCTCATTTCACTTACAGTATCACAGATAGTGGTTGGATAATATTTTGTAATCATCTGATGGAAAATATTTCCGGTGTAATTTGACTGATGAATAACTGAATTCACTGCTTCAACTGTCATCAGTACTTCAGCAATATGAATGATTAGCCATCCAAGAAACATCACAAATCCTGATCTCATAGTTCCATCGGATCCTTCCCTCAAATTCATACAGATGAGATAAAAATAGGAAGCTACGTCGATAAAATGCGCCAAAAGAAAAAAGAAAATGGGCATTCGGAAATATTTTTCTATCAATTCCAGAAGCGTTCGAATATCCCCGTGTACTTCAAAAAGACCTGTCAGATACTTCGCCTCCTGAACTTCCCAAATCCTGCAACAAAAAATGGTTCCCAAATGCTTGGTGAAAAATTGTTCAAAAAAATTGAATGATGAACAAAAAATCGAATACCTCCCGCAGGAAACAGTGACACCAGATAAACTGCAAACACTCTCGGGAAATTTCCCGATACATTTATTAATAAAACAGAGATATTGTCTCAATAATTCCAAAGAACAAATAAAAATCACTAGGATGATGTAACTGATACCCCGGACAGCGGTGAAAATACCTCTCGCGAGTCGATCGACCATTTCTGCAGAAGGTTTAATGACACTGTTCATAATCATTAAAATGAGATACGCACTATTTACTAGTAATACGAGATAGTTCATTCTCCGGATGATGCAGTTGGAATCTTCCTGATAGTCAAATCGTCGCAGAGACTCTGATATGCGGGTGAAATATCTAATGATAAGGCGAATCGTGTCCGTCAAAAATATTCCATTCAACCAGATAGACATGATCATCACAAATTCGAGAATAATTGTCGAACCGTTGGCAATCACAAATATGGGGGTCTCACAGGAATACGTCTGGGAGAATCTACACTTAATCGTAATCGAAAAAGTAATTGTGAAGAGTATGCAGAGAATCCACGTGTACACCGTAGAGATATTACAACGAAGTAACGTATGATCCCTGGAAAAATTAAATGGACACAAACCGAGAACTTTCAGGTAGTAATAGACAAATCGATTCAATGAATGATCGTGGACAATTTTTGTGATCATCCTAGCCGACATTCTGGAAGGAATAATCATTAGTTATTAGTCGACTGTACATTTTGATAGAGTGGTTTTTCCGGGAATAATCAATTCCGTAATTTATGAAATGCGATGGAGGGGAATTGGATGTGTCCTGAAAGCAACTTGTAGGGATGAAATATTTATGGGCTGCGATAAGACTTTATTGTCATTAATTATAATTTTATGCTGAATATACAAATAATCGATATATTATCTCACCAAGATCGATCACTTGTTTTAGTTTACGTAATGATAATTTTACGATAACAAATATTCGGTAATTTGAAATTACGCACTTTGATGTGAAATTTTTATGAATTTATTATTAACACCCGGTATTCACTTTCATGATGATGATGACGACGGGAATCACTGGAAATGGACACGGGGATATGATTTCTGTTAAAACCGAGAGGTACTAGGGCTTCTGAATTTTTTATTAATATGCGCCGACTGAGGTATAGACCACCGGCTGTCTCGTTAAAAATTCACTTTGTACCGGCAGGTTGTAATTAATCAGGTGGTGCCTGTAATTTTCCACGAAAAATTGATAGGAGAAATCTTCAAACAGAGGAAATGAAAAAAGCATTCTCCACTTTTTACACGAACAGTTCAAAGGGTTAAATATGGAAGATATTTTCAGAGATTCTCCCTTTTATTTTTACATACGAGTTATGAAATGGTTTGGCCAGTGGCCGTTTCAGTCCAAGATGGAAAGCAATATTCGGAAGTACCTGATAATATCACTCTTGCTGAGTATATTCGTGCCATCGGTAGTTAGACGAATCCAAAAAGAACAGTCATTAAATCATTCTGCTTAATCATATTTTCTGAACACTTTTTATCAAATCAGATTATCAAATTCTACGAATTTCGGAATGACGTCTACAAAATGATGGACTGCATTCCGATGTTGGGACTTCATCTCGCAAGTATATCGAAATTTATAAATTGGAGTTATCACCATGAAAAGGTACACATCGTTTTTTTTTTTCAATTGGCAGTTATTTAATTAATGGAATTGTAATGCAGATTGAACAGTTGCTAATGCACATGCAGTACGATTGGAGCAACTTGAGGAACAAATTCGATGCGGATATTCTGGAGAAATTTCGAAGGCCCAGTCAAATATTATACGTCATTTATGCAAGTACGAATAAAATTAACCAATTATTATTGCAATGACTCAACGATTTTTTTAGTAATAGGAATTTATGGAACAACAGCGGTGTATCTAGTTACTCCGCTTGTCCCAATAATTTTAAATATTGTATTGCCTCTGAATGAATCTCGACCGCATGTGTATGTTTATCATACGGAGTACTTCGTAGATCAGAACAAATATTATTATCCAATACAATTGCATGCATACATGACAATTCCAGTATCAGTTACATGTCTCGTTGCTTTCGATCAAATGTGCGCGATGTTCATTCAACACGCGTGTGGAATGTTGGAGATCCTGAAGTGCGTATAATAAATCTGATATATCAAATCCGAAAAATATTTAACATGATTATTTACAGAATGCATCTGCAAAATCTACATGCAACATTTCTGGCGAATGACGGGACAGCATTATCACTGAGAGAGGAAGCAGTTGCCAAAGAAATAATTTATTGTGTGCGAATACACAATCGAATTTTTAAGTAAACATTGCATCAACTTTTTTATCAACGCATTCCCCGCTTGAAGCGATTATGCACATTGTGATATTAATTTATTTGGATGATTGTGTAGATTTTTGGAGATCGTAGAACATTGGGATCAAGTTGTACTGTTGATCGTTGGAGCAGGAAATACAATGACTCTAACGGCTTGTGGAGTTGGAGTAAGTACCTCTCCCTAATTTTCAATCTAATTGTGAAAGAAAGTGCAATTATTAAAAAAAAACTGCAGGCTATTCTGAATAAACCAGATTTCTTGGGTTTTGTGAGATTGACTCTTTTCAATTTCGGGGGTACAATGCATCTGTTTTATAATTGCTGGCAAGGACACTTGATTCTTGAACAAGGCGAAAGTATTTTTATTCTGGCGTGAGTATTCCATGTAACAGAAGTTTCCAAAAGTTTCACAATTAATTTTCAGTTATCAGAATGAGTGGTATGAATTGCCATGCCATTTGCAGCGAATGCTATTACCCATAATGGCAAAGAGCATGAAACCACGTGAAATAACAGCTTGCAAGTTATTTCCAATGTCATTAGCAACCTTTGGAATGGCGAGTTGAACAATTTATGATTGATGATCCATAATTTTTAGTGGTCAATTAAATATTGATTATTGCTTCCAGGCGATGAGAGCATCTCTGTCATATTTCACTCTCTTCAAGTCCATGAAATGAATCCCTCGAGGGAAAAATCTCTGGGTAGAAAGTAGCAGACGATTAGTATTTGCGATTGATATTTATAGTTTTGAATAGTTTTTTAAATAAAGGATGCTAGAAGACGGTTGACTACAAATATTCCTTGACTTACTTGAATTAACAATGATTTTCATCAGATTCATTCTGAATATCAAGCTGTATCATTACGATAAAGTAAGTGGTGATTGCGCTAAAAACCTGTAATGCACGATTAATCCACTGAGTTCATGACAACTTGAGTGATAAAAAAACAATTACTGACTCTGTACATCAGCGATGGATTTAAATCTACGAATCCATACAAACTGAACTTCATTGGTTCCTGATGAATTCGTAAGGATATCATTTTCACCTGTAATTAACGTTAATAATTGCACAAAATTCATTATTCAAATAATAATGTCAACAGTTTCTGATAATTAAATGTTACCCACAGCCTCTACGACGTCTGTGGAATAATATTCAATAATTAATTTGTGGAAAATATTCCCTGTCTGATTTCCCTGAAGAATGACAGAGTTCACTGCCTCAATTGTTGCGAGCACTTCGACAACATGAATTATCAGCCACATGAGGAATAAGAGGAATGTGGCTGTGATAGGTTTATCGGGTCCTTGTTTTAAATGCAAACATATAACGTAGAAGTACGAGGCAATGTTGATGAAGTGTGCAATGAGAAAGAATAAAATTGGCGCTCGAAAATAAATCTCCACCATTTTCAAAATAGTTTGGAGTTCTACATGCACCTGGGCAAGTGCTCGAAGACAGATCACTTGATGACTGCAGCCTTGAGTCCTACAAGAAGATTCTCATCTTATAATTCCCCCCAAAATCAAATACCCCAGAGAAATGACCTTTCTGAAAATAATCCTTTTTCCATCGAAACCTTAAAACTGTCGGGATATCCTCTGACGAATCTATGAACGAAATGCAAATATCCTTTTAATGTCACTAATACACTGATGAATAATCCCGTAATGACATGGCCGATGCCACGACAACCGTTGAATGTTATCCGCACTAATAAATTAACGTGTCCTCGTGTGGGTATAATTACAAGTCCCAAAATAATTGTAATGATGTAACCACTAGTTATTAATATCACCATGTAATTAATTCTCCGTACGATAATGTCCAGATTTTTCGTGATATTTAGTTGTCTAAGGGACTGAGATATTCGTCGAAAGCCCTTCACAATTTCACATACGATATTTTGCAAAAAAATTGCATTTACCCAGACAGACACAATTGTTAAAAATTCAAAAATTATACTTAACATATCAGCGATCACAGAAATTGGAGTTTCGCATGAAAATATAACCGACGCCCTGTATTTCATCATCCAGATAAAAATAAATGTGTACACTGTGCCCAATCCGCATGTGTAAATTACCAGACTGGAGGATCGCACGCAAATATTTTCATGAGAAAAATTGAACGGGCATAAACCAAGGATCTTCAAGTAATAATAGGTAAATCGAGAAAGTGGTAAATCGTCTAGTTCTCTCATCCTCTCAATCCATGTGGTAATAGTTACTGAAGAATTGTCACGATATTGACGCGTATTTATCGGGGAAATGAGGAGTCCATTCTGAAAGTACATAGACAGCATAAAAATCGATTATTATCCTTTTAATATATCTGGAGATCGCTCGTTTGTCATCGAAACGACAGCTCGTGACAGTAGAATACGAATGAAAGGGATTTCTTGATGATTGGAATCAAAAATTCAAAATTTCAATATTTCAATCAACTAATTACTTCGTAATTTAATTAACCATCACCAAAAGACAACCATAACATCCATAATTATTATAGCACTTGGTAGATCGATTATTGATTACCCATTCACGACGAGCTCTTATTTCCCTATTTTGTCAGTTTCTTCCATAGCTTTCTTCTAAAACAATCGTGATGAAGTCGTTCTGTTCGAAGTCCTCCAATTTATTCAACGTCTCAATTAACTCAACAAAATTTGACAGTCTGGTGGACAAAGTTGTACTCAACTATTTCAAAATGATAGGATTATATCCCTTCGTGATAATGGATAATAGCAGTCTGAAATATTCCGTCCTGGGGACAATTCATACGTGCACATGTTCCATCATTTACGTATGCAGTTTTTTATACACAATAAGATACAGGCATTTAACATTTTCATTCGATGGCACTTATATGCTGTATTTTATGAATTATATGAGCGTAATTACTGAACTTATGGCGCTCATCGCTTGCTGGATAAATGTACTCTTTTCCGAACAGCTGTTGTCCACGATTATTAAAAAATCCAAGAAGATACAAAAATCCCTTGAAATCCTCGATATCACGCAGGACGATGAAGAACTGCTCAGACAAGCTAAGTATTTCGTAACATTCTGCATCATTGCTTTCCACATTCCAATATTCTATCATCACATGTTCTTCACATTTGAATCACTCATGGAACTCATCGCCTGGACAATTTGGAATACAATGCGCGGTAGCGTTCACATGATTCCAATAATTTATGTATCCTTGCTGATGATTATGAAAAAAAAAATCCGCACGATGAATGAATTCATTGAAAATATTCCCGAGGCAATGGAAACATGACATGAAATCCCAAGAGATAGGTGAGGACTTCTCTAATTAATTAGATTAATCAGTGAGTAACGGCTCTTGGATATATTGATGTTGCAGGGAATATGAGAAAGATATCGTCAGTCTTCTGAAAAGTTCTTCCAGCATAGAAGCTGATTTTAGAAGACTGCTGAAGATGATCGAAATTTTTTTTCGCGCACCAATATTGTTTAATTTATGTACGGACACATGGAATGTGACATCGTATACTTACGTAGTTTGTCTTCATGTTGTAAATGGTGACTGGAAATGGGAAGATTCTACTGCGTCTGTTATTCTGATGTTGTGGGCAGTTATCCACGTTGTTAGGGCCTTTATCACTATTGATATTGTGAATTCAACAATGAAGGAAGCAAATCGTGTGGCGTCTATTCTGCACCGGATATCCATTCCACGTAATCAAGTCGTCACTGATGAGGTAAATATTATTATTATTAGTTATCAATGTATCACACAATTGTACATAATTGTTTCTTTACTGTGGACTCAAGGTAAAAATGCTGTCACTACAACTTCTTCAGGATCCCACGAAATTCAGTCTGTACGGACTCTTAGAGCTGAATCCTCAGCTTCTTTACAGAGTAATTACTTAATTATTGTAAATTATTGATGACCAATTGCGATAATTGATATTCTTCATTTAGGTATTTGGATCCATGATCACTCAATTCATCATAATGATTCAGCTTGATTTACAGAATCACGCGGGTATTGCTAGAAGAACTGATTGAACAGTTCCATAAACAACGGAAGTTATTGTGAATTGTCTAGAACAATAAAGATTGTTTCCCAAATGTGAACTCATCGGTTCAATCAATAACAACCTTTCCAGGAATATTACACGATAAAATTACTTTCGATTTAACTGGCATTTGCAAATGAGTGAATGCTATTAGGACAATTGTTGGTTCGAGTAATTGAAAAATTTTTCCATTTGGAAATTATTCAGAAAGAAACTCAGTATTTTTCCTGAGTCCATGTACTAGGGTGGATTAAATTAAAACGAAAAATATTTGCCAGTAATCTTGACAAATGCATTTATTCGACAAAAAATCGTGGTATTTCATAATATTATTTCGTTTCGAAAATATTTTGGGACTTAATCCACTTCGACTGACGAGTGATGGAACGATAAAATCTTGTTGTTTCGCTCCATTTTACGCTTTATCCCGTGCAATAATATTTGTATTTATCTGCGGAAAAGTTTTCATGGAAAGAAATCGAATAACAACACCTAGTGAAACTCAAGTTTTTTTAATTATGGATCAACAAATAGTGGTGCAGGCATTCGTGGAACACACGTGCTGTTGGATTTCCTTCGCATGCCTCCAAAATCGATTATTCGAAATCATCGATTATCTAAAAAGAAGTCAGATCATTGAGAAAAAACTGCATATCGCTTGTGATTATAATAGATATGTCAAAAAAATCGCCTCTTTCATACTTTTCTTCAATATTTTGTATATATTATTAATGACATACGCAATGAGTGTTGCTGCAAAGTTAATGCCCGAATTCGATTCAATATTGTGGTGGACATATCATGTCGTACGTGTTACAAACTACAACATGATGATATTATTTGTCACAGCAATTATGCTAGTGCACTTGAAATTCCGGCGCTTGAATATGCAATTGGAACTGATTTTCGAGGCGCGCAAAAGACATCAGCTCTTCAGGATTGTCTCAGAGTAATGAAATAACGGAATTTTATAATATAGCATCCTCTGACGAGAATATTGTCCTGGTTTTTCAATTAATCTCTTGATTATTCTGAATATTTCAAAGGATGATAAAATTTTCAGTAAAAATTGTTCAAGCATGTCAACTTTTTTAGCTATTTTAATTATTCTCTCGCTTTGATGTTCACGATTGTTTTTATTGTTCAGAAGGAAACGAGTTGTATTGGATGATGAGTTGTGGCTCTTCAGACAACTCCATCAAGAGATATGCGGTCTTTTGTACAAGATTGTGGCTCTTTTTGCGGCTCCTTTATCAATTACACTAGCATCCCACATTATCTACATAACGGGGAACATTTATTTCTATTGGTTGTACTTGAGAGATGTTCATCCAAATAATTGGGATCTCCTATATATATCATCGATCGTTCATTGGGTGATTTTTCCTGTCTCGGCTGCTATAATAATCGCAAGCAGTTGTAATTCTGTTTCTTCTGAAGCTCAACGCACATCACAAATCCTTCTGTCTATTTTGGGTGACCATTTAGGATCAGAAAATATGAAAGTGGTAAATAATTTAATTATCGATAAATTAATATGAGACAATAATTTTTAAAAATTTTCCAGCAATTTGATATATTTTCTCTTCAATTATTACGAAAAGAAATCAAAGTTTCGCTGTTTGGACTCTGTGATGTGAATCATCATCTCCTAGTTCGGGTAAGGACAATATTATAATTAATGAGTAAATACAGGTAATATTATTATTCCTGCAGATGACCTGCTCCATAGTCACATGCTTAGTAATAATGGTGCAGTTCGATGAAGATTTTGGGCATAAATGAACTGATAAGATTAGGAAAAAAAGAATTTTGTGGTCTTCAATACTTCAATGCAGAAAATATCTACAACAAATGTTTAACGAGAATCCATTGACCATCAATATTTGTAATGATTTAATCTTGCACCTGGACTTCGACCTCAAATTTTTCGGGGTCTTATTTGCGCGCTTGCGCATGCGTACCTTTTTTTTTGAGGATTTCAATCGAAGAGGATTGACTGAAGTAGAGGCTCAGTTCTGGGGGTTTGAGTGACCCCAGCGGCATCGTAGTACTGCACCCTAGGAGAGGAAGGATGCCCCCCGCAATGGGGGTGTCGTCCCGTCAGCCGACTCGGTAACTGCCTCATTAGTAGTCCTTCTGTCAGAGGGACCAGTCAACTGGGTGAATTTTATTTTATGTGTTACGAAATTGGTATTCACTGAAATAGAAAAATGACAAATTTTCAAAACAGTACCAGAGGAGCATAAAAATGGAGGAGGTATTCCCTGAAATTTGAAAATTCGAAATTTTTCAAAAAGTATCAGGAGAGCCTGAAAATCGAGGAGGTATTCACTGAAATTTGAAAATTTCGAAATTTTCAAAAAAGTATCAGGGGAGCATGCAAATGGAGGAGGTATTCACTGAAATTGAAAAATTAAAAATTTTCAAAAAAGTAACAGGAGAGCATGAAATACGAGGAGGTATTCACTGAAATCTGAAATTTCGAAAAGTATCAGGGGAGCATGAAAATCGAGGAGGTATTCACTGAAATTTAAAAATTTTAAATTTTCAGAAAATAAAATCCACCCGGTCAATTGGTCCCTCTGACAGCGGGACTGCTACTGAGGCAGTTACCGAGTCGGCTGACGGGCAGACCCCCACCATTGGGTGCGGCCCCCACTTTCTTTTGGGGTGAGATACTCCCTCGACTGAGCCGCCCAATGGGGGTTTGAGTGACCCCACCGGCATTGTACCCCACCTCACCCCAAGAGAAAGAGGGGACCGCACCCAATGGTGGGGGGTCTGCCCGTCAGCCGACTCGGTAACTGCCTCAGTAGCAGTCCCGCTGTCAGAGGGGCCAGTCAACTCGGTGAATTTTATTTTCTGAAAATTTAAAATTTTTAAATTTCAGTGAATACCTCCTCGATTTTCATGCTCCCCTGATACTTTTCGAAATTTCAGATTTCAGTGAATACCTCCTCGTATTTCATGCTCTCTTGTTACTTTTTTGAAAATTTTTAATTTTTCAATTTCAGTGAATACTTCCTCGATTTTCATGCTCCCCTGATACTTTTCGAACAGTTTCGAATTTTCAATTTTCAGTGAATATCTCCTCAATTTGCATGCTCCCCTGATACTTTTTTGAAAATTTCGAATTTTAAAATTTCAGTGAATACCTCCTCGGTTTTCATGCTCCCTTGATACTTTTTTGAAAATTTCGAATTTTTCAAATTTCATTGAATACCTCCTCGACTTTCATGCTCACCTGATACTTTTTCAAAAATTTCGAATTTTCAAATTTCAGTGAATACCTCCTCGATTTTCATGCTCCCCTGATACTGTTTTGAAAATTTGTCATTTTTCTATTTCAGTGAATACCAATTTCGTAACACATAAAATAAAATTCACCGAGTTGACTGGTCCCTCTGACAGCAGGACTGCTAATGAGGCAGTTACCGAGTCGGCTGACGGGACGACACCCCCATTGCGTGTGGTGCCCTCCCTCTCTTGGGGTGCAGTACTACGATGCCGCTGGAGTCACTCAAAGCCCCAGAACTGATTGAGACGGTTTCCAAACAGCTACAACGAAGATCTACAAGTATATAAGCAGTTATGTGTGATGCGTGGGTAAATAATCGAAAAACATGAGACACGTCTGCTCATTTCGTCTGTAGATAAACCCTGCCTGTTGAATATTGAACAATGTGTCACGTTAAGTCCCTGTTTCTAAGTCTAATTTGCCTGCTGATTAACAATAAAAGTGGCTCTTCGGCTAGTCATTTTGTCGATAATGACGCCTGCTATTCATATGCCGGGGGGTCGGTTTATCCAGCCGGTAATAAACATGCTGGGCATCAATTGCATACCACAAAGGCAGTCAGTAAGTTTTGTTCATTATTCTCTTTTTTTAATGCATGAAATTTTCATTAAAATTGCCGCACTATTGGATCATCAAAATAAATGAATATAAGTCAATTATTCATTATTTATTTTTTTATTTATTTGTATTAATTAATAATGTTATGAGGGAATAAATACATTTTTCTTTGCAGTTGGAAAACCTGCCCCACACTGGGAAGCAACAGCTGTGATCAATGGGGAATTCAAGGAGATCAAATTGAGTGATTACCAAGGAAAATACGTTGTCTTCTTCTTCTACCCTTTGGACTTGTGAGTGAATAAAAAATCTTATCAATAACTCGAGGAAGTCAATATCCATTGATATTTTCATTACAGCACTTTTGTATGTCCAACGGAGATTCTGGCATTCTCAGATAGAGTTGAAGAGTTCAAGAAATTGAATGCAGAGGTGATCGCAGCTTCTGTGGACTCTCAGTTTACACATTTGGCCTGGATGAATACTCCGAGGAAAGAAGGAGGACTGGATAAAATAAAAATTCCTCTTCTCTCTGATTTAACGCACAAAATATCGAAAGATTATGGAGTTTATCTGGAAGATCTGGGGCACACGCTGAGGTAAATAATTAATAAGCAGAATAACTTGGCTGAGTGACTTTTGCTTTCAACACAAATAATTTCATTTTGCAGAGCTCTATTTATAATCGATGGCAAGGGAAACCTACGCCAGATAACAATGAATGATCTGCCAGTGGGCCGATCAGTGGACGAAACCCTTCGTCTGGTTCAAGCCTTCCAGTATACCGATGAACATGGAGAGGTCTGCCCAGCTGGATGGAAACCCGGCCAAGACACAGTGCGTACAAAAAAACTTAACTTTATTCCTTCTCTCATAGAATTGAACGTCATTCCAATTGTCAACATGATCGTCTCGTAAAAAAATACAAAAATTATTTATTTCAGATAATTCCAAATCCAGTGGACAAGAAGAAGTTCTTTGCCAAAACGAACTAGGTGCTGATATTTTTACATCCGTCACTTGTATCCCAGTGTTTTATACATTAAATGAAATTTATAAAAAGTCTTCCAGTCTATCACCTCTGAATACTCCACATTCAATAAAAAATACCAGTGCCGATAGAAAAATGTATTAAATCGTGACGTTTCAGTCAAAATATTTACAGGTCCTCTTTAGGACGTTTGGGGCTGGATAAAGTGATTAATTTCACTCGTCTGGGGGTTCTGGAGGACAGCACAGGGATGACGTCTGCCTTGGAGGGCGTACCCTTGGAGGGATTTTCAGGTTCAGCCTTGGGTGGAGTGATTTTCTCAGGTTCTGGGGGAACGTCGCAGGTGTTGGGTTCAAAGATTAATTTTATGTCCTCTGTGTCTTCTGTTAGCTGAGGAGCTGCGTTGTCCTTGGGAAGAGCGGCTTCGGACTCTTTCGAGAGGATTTTCTCAGCTATGTCAATGTCCATTGCGTCTGTGTCGAATTCTAGGATTTTCTCTGGCTCCACTTTGGGCGGGATTTTTGAAGTGGATTTCCCTTCGGGGCTTGTCCTGGAGCTGACTTGGGGGGATTTTAAGGGGATCGTTTTGTCTCCTGTATAGATTTCTCCCAGTTCACCCTTCTGGAAGTGAATGATTGAGCAGTAGCCGTCTGTGGAGGAGACCACCAGCATCTGTCCGTCTGATGACCTGGAAATGTTGGAATGTTGAATTGAACGACGCTTTAAAATCATTGGACACACTAATTGCAAATGAAAACTCACCAGGCGACATCGGTAAGTCTCGTATAATGTATATTCGATACAACAGCTATGGGAGCAATTTGTTGAGTGTCATAAATGAGAACGGATTTCTGTGTGGCCACGGCAAAAATCATTCTGTAAGGTAGAGCAAAGACAGCAACAGGTCCCTGCTCTCTGAGCTGAAAGTAAACAGGACAGCACCTGACAGCAATGGTGCTCTCATCGACAGAGGGAAGAACAAGTACAGGTTCCTTGAGGCTATGTCTGGAGAAGACAAATGTGGCATATGATATTCGTTGACTGGAGTCCTGGGGCTCGATGATGCCAGAAGGGGCAATAATAAGCGATCCATCAATGGTGAAAGTAAGTCGCCTGAAGAAAGATTTGAATGTATCATCGTGAAAAATTCTGACAGTCTGTCCCTCCAGGGGATGCCCCTCAGGAGTCGGTATGACAGCTTTGTGGACCCTCTGCACTGTCTTCATAGTCTTGACATCGATAAGTCTGCAGTGTCTGTCTGTGCTCAAGGTTACGATTGACTGATTGAGAGGATCCCAGGATACCCCCTGAACAAAACCCTTGTAATCTTGAAGAATACTAATGTTTCTGCCCTTCTGCACATCCCAGACGATGGCACTATTGTCCACAGACCCTGACACTATAAAATTCGAGTCTGGGGACCAGGATATGTCGTAAATATCCTCCAGATGACCCCTCAGGACTTTCCAAACTGTCCACTGCTCCTTATTCACAAAATTTTCGTCGTCCAGGGAGGGAATCTCCACGGATTCTTCTTTCTGTTTCCAGAGGATGATTGCTGACTCGTCGTCACCTGTTGCCAGTATTTCGCCTGATGGTGAAAATCTCACGACGTTCACAGCCTTCTGGTGACGTTCCAGGTCAGCTACACATGACACAGAAGCTGCCCCCAGGTCGTTCACTCTCAGGTGCCAAATGAGAACGTGAGTGTCAGCTCCACCGGTTGCCAAACGCCAAAATGGATCTTCATCCGATTTTTTTTCTGTTCGCTGAATATCGATACTCAACACTGGGTCACGATTGTGCCAGGAGATCTCTGGAATCGTGCACTTCATTGTTAAAAATTTATTCCAGGGGATGAATCTTGTTATTGCTGTGGAACTCACACACTTTTCTCAGGACTAGACATAACCTATCAATTTCTGATTGCTCCCGCGGTCTTAGTACTCCAGCGCCTTTTCTGCAGAAACTAAATTGCAGGAAAAATAATCTCCTATGATAATTACCATCGATGATAAATCGCACTTAATTACAGGAAACTTACGTAGGAAAGTAAATATTGCAAATGGCATGAAAATTTGAACCGAATAAACAGGGAGAAAATGATGGAAACTCTATTTTCAGTTTCCAATATGAAACCTTGTATTATTATATATAGAAATTATTATGGTAATAATTACGTAGCAGTACATACTTCTGCGTGAATAATCTTTCGAATTACAAATTACGATTAAAATATAAAATTGCTGATATTGTATTGTATGATTGTATGATATCGCAAAATTCGGGTGTGATCCCAAGAACTCACCATTCGCTATCAATGCGATAACTTATCGTATACACAGAATATATCAATTATTACGCAGAACTCGATCTGTATATAAACAACCGGATACACTGATTGCGTATGTAATTTCTGTGATGGTATAAAAGGGGACTTGTCCGTTGTCATTCGATAAAGCTGAAGTGCAAGATTCTCACGTCTCGAATTCTCATTACTATTTCTGCAAATGAAGTAGTGACATAAATATGCGAGTACTCATAAGTTTTATCGTACTGATAGCTCTTGGTGGTGTGAATAGTGAAGAAAAATGGTGGTCGACACTGTCTCTTTATCAAATTTATCCCCGGAGTTTTAAGGACAGTAACGGGGATGGAGTCGGGGATATAAAAGGTATTTATTTGATATCACGACGTACATCAATTATTCTTTTTTATTTTTCCAGGAATTATTGATAATTTAGAGCACTTGGTAGACTCAAAAGTAAATGCATTCTGGATGTCACCCGTTTATCCTAGCCCTGGAGTGGACATGGGCTACGATATTTCCAACTTCGTCGACATCGATCCGTTGTTCGGTTCATTAACGGACTTCGATAATTTACTGGAGAAAGCCCACGGATTGGATCTGAAAGTGCTGATGGATTTTGTACCGAATCACAGCTCCGATCAACACGAATGGTTCCAGAAGAGTGTCAAGAATATTCTGCCTTACAATAATTATTACATCTGGGCGAATGGATCGATCAAAGAAGATGGGACTCGTGCACCGCCGAATAATTGGGTGACTATTTCACATATTAAATATCACTCAATCAATTTTGTTAAGTAATTGGTGGAATCCTAGGTCAGTGTCTTCGGAGGTCCAGCCTGGACCTGGAATGATCAGAGACAAGCATATTATCTGCACCAGTTCGCGCCCCAACAGCCAGACCTCAATTACCGCTATGAAAATCTTCGAAGGGAAATGGAGGTACTGTAAATTTAACAAACAGAATTAATCTGGAATTGTGAACAAGAAGTTCAGAAAACGATAAACGTCAAAATTGGAATTGATTGATTAGTTCGTATTCAGTTATTTATCATAGAGATTCTCTGAGAAGATTCTCTTTATTGAGTGATTGATTGGTGTTGATTGTCGATTTAGAATGTACTGAGGTTTTGGCTGGACCGAGGAGTTGATGGTTTTCGAATCGACGCAGTAAATCATGTGTTCGAGATTCAATCCCTTCAGGATGAACCCCTGTCAGGTGACACAAATGATCCGAACAATTACGGCTATTTAGACCATATCTATACGAAAGATCAGCCCGAGTGTTATAAACTGGTTGGTGAATGGCGAAAAGTTCTAGAGGAATACAATAAAAATGGTGGGCATGAACGTCTTATGGCCATGGAAGCGTATACAGATATCAATTTGACAATGAGATACTACGAGTCTGGGGCAAGTTTTCCCTTCAACTTTGGATTTATTCAGCGTTTGAGAAATGATTCTTCACCCAATGATTTCAAATCTGTCATCGACGAGTGGATGGAGAGAATGCCTGACGGGAGTGTAGCAAATTGGGTGGTAAGGTTGAAGAAATCCATCCAAGATTATCAATCGAGATTAATTTATTTGGAATTCATTCAGATTGGGAATCACGATCAGAAACGAGTAGCCTCGCGTTACGGCGTTGAGCGAGCCCCAGGAATTGTCGCATTACTTCACCTTCTGCCTGGAGTACTGGTAACATACAATGGTGATGAGATTGATATGCCAGATAATTATGTCTCCTGGGAACAGGGGAAAGATCCACAGGGATGCAATGCTGGGAGACAGAGATTTGAAGCGGCATCACGAGATCCCTTCAGGACTCCTTTTCTCTGGGATGGCACGACTTCCGCTGGTAAAATCATTTTACTGAAACCTAATTATTGCGGTATGTTATTAAATTCCCATGAACATGAATTTAAATTAATCCACAGGTTTTTCCACTAATCCAATTACATGGTTACCAGTAAATCCGGATTACAAAACATTAAATCTGGAAGTGCAGAAAAATTCTGGCGATTCTCAATTTAAATTCTACCAGGCTATCGCAGAACTCCGGGCGTGGCCTGCAGCAAAGAATGGCGATCTTCACACTTACGTGATTAATAACAATATCTTCGCCATCTCTCGGTATGCGAATTGTTAAAAGAAATGGATGTTCATTTATTTGATGATTGTTTTAATTGTTGTACAATTTTATTGATAGATCGATTTGATTTTTTTTTCTAGAGCGTTGAAGTCTCAACGATCAATTTATCTTGTATTGAACTTTGGAAATGAAGTACTCAATTTAGATCTGACTGAAAAAATAGAGAATATGTCAGAAGAACTAATTATCTATCGTGGAACGGTTAACTCGGGACTTCCTCCTGGGTAAGCTGATTAGAATAGACTCCGCGGCCTTCCCTAATGATTAGAAGAGTGATTACGTGATTAATTGTTACGAAAATATTTCCACAGATCGAAAATTAATCCGAAGTCGGCAGAAATTCCAGCTCGTGGAGCTGTCATCTACGTCGCACCGGAAATGTCAAGAAATTACGGAGTCGTCATGCTGTAGTTCAATTTATGGCGCTATTATTTTTATCCCACTGTTTCAAACAGGTGTATTTTCAAAGAAGAATAAATTAACAACATCGTTATAATTTTTTTATGTGACCTTCAACACGTGCAGCGGCAAATTTCAAAGTCCTGTGTCAACCAATAAAAACGTTCCATTGAGGGATTCTCAAATATTGGAACATATTTTTTCATTATCTTACCGATCCATTGAACAATGGATAGTAAACTTATATGTTGATAACGTCGACGGCTGTCACTTAAATAAATTACCAGACTGAATTTATGTCTAGATTTCGAGAAACTGATGAAAAAAATTGATCCCTTATCTGCTTGCCATTGAAAAATCGTTCGTTGGATCGTGTTTAATTCGTTTTATACACTGTACAGAAAGGTAGGCTATATGGAATACTATACAAAAGCGTATCTGATAAAAAAAATGTCCATTCTGTCGGTGGCACTGCAAATTTGTGGATCGCTAGCTTATCTTCTTCCTGAGACAGAAAATGTAATAGGACTTCGTGAAGTGGTCTCACACAGTGACATATTCTCTCGACAATTTTACTCGGTGAGTAGTCATTAAATAATTAATTGTCAACATGCAAATTTACTAATGGTGAAGGCTTACTGATTTGAATTCAAAGAAATTTCATTCAACAATGAGAAATAAATAAATCGTTAAATACTTTTTATGGAATAGACACATGGAGTGGACGTCAAAGAAAATTTTGTATCGTCACCGATCGGTGCATCGGTGGCTCTGTCCATGCTGACATATGGAGTTGATGAAAATCTGCGGAAACGGTTGGAAAGAAATTTGCTTTTCTGTAGGAATCGCAATGTTCAGAATCATGGCATGAGGGCTCTCGTAAATATACTCGTGAGTTATTCGTCAGACAGACTTTTCTTGACGATCAATACAACTAAATTACACTATTTATTCTTTATTGATAGAACTTCCCGGGAGATTCGCAAATGGGCAGGCTAATTTTCGTGGATCGAAGGGCGTTGATAATGCCCAGATTCCGTTTAGCTATGCTCAGAATTTTCCAAACTGGGATTCAAACAGTTGATTATAGGAATCCACGGAATGCCATCAAAACTATTAATACCTGGTGGCATAGAAAATCAAAGAGCGATTCGTATAACATCATCAGCCCTGGTTTGTAATCAGTGTAATTATTTTTTAGTGCACGGGTTTCATTCACGAGACGATTATATCTTTTCATACAGGTGATGTGAGTAACAGAACGATTTTGGTGATTGCCAATGTCGTTGAGTTCAACAGTCACTGGGCAACGACATTTCATAAAGAGGCAAAACATTTACATCATCTCTATGATGAAAATGGGCGAGTCCGTCATCATCGAACGATGTATACCTTACAGGCAATGGAACATCGAGCTTTCAGAAGTGTTGGAATTTTGTTTATCCAGATACCTTACCAGGTGCGCCCATTTTCTTGCGCCAAAGCTCTTCTGTTTTTTCTACAATACAATTTTTCGTATTAAAAGTTACGTATGTAATTGTTATTTTGTAGGAGGCAGATCTGAGCTTAGTATTGATCATGTCCAGGAATGCATCCGAAACGACCATTCTTGACCACCATTTTAATCTCGGCCTTCTCTTCAATATGTCAAGGAATGCAAATGTTGATTTCAATTTACCTAAATTGAGAATTGAATCGACAATTGATCTGACCGATTTTTTAGTGAGATCGGGAATTGGTGACGGATTTAGAAGTTTTACTCGAATAACTCCTCGTCCCTTGAAATTTTCCAGCATAAAGCAAAAAACGTACATCGAAATAGACGAGACAACAACCAGGGCAATCTCTACCACGATTATTACGAATAATGAATCGAAAAGTAAAAAGCCCGCAGGTATGACGATAAAAGGACTTTTAATATTGATGATGATCGATAATAATATCTAATGAATGAAAATTATTTCTAGCTCCAGAAGCGCCCGTTCATTTCAAAGCTGAAGTGCCGTTCTATTTTGCCATTGTCAAACATTTGAATCCACAAGATTATGTTGTCCTGTTCAATGGACATTACAAGAATGTTAATTAAATAAACTATTATGTTGAACCGATGAATTTTCACTTGAGACTCATCAATGAAAAATTGTTTGGATTATTCGAATTAATGGAGAGATTGAAAGAAAATTGTTTTGCACGATCCTATTTCCTTCACTCATAATGACGATAAAAAATATTAACCATTAGTTGGTTAGATATTTTATCTAAATGTGTGAACATATGATAGATGAATGCTTAGATCTAGTAACCTCTGCACAATATCGGATACCGGATCAATCACTCTTCACAACTTTGTGAATGAATGCGTACTCATAAATGAGTAGACTTAGATAAAAAATTATTGAATATAATAAATTATTTAATGAAATTATTTAATATAATATATTAAATATGTTTAATATAATAAATTAGTCAGTCATATCGATATACATCACAGTGGAAAGGAGAGATTGACGATGGAAATTCGGAGGCAGATCTCGCAGGTGTGATGGCAATATTGTGTTTTCAGACACTTGAAAATTCATCTATGAAAAAATGTTGTTCTTCATTAATTCTTTAAAATTTTATTTACTCTTTGTGTTCTTTTAAACTTTAATTCCAAACCAGAATTTCGGAGAACGAATTCCAAAAAATTTATCCACTACCAAGTACCATCTTTAAACCCGATGCTCTAGTTACAGCCGTTGGCTGGGGACTGACAGATGAATCCTGACAGCCAGACCTGAATAAAAGAATCAATTTCTGAATTTCAGAATCAATCTGAAATTGTGAAGAAGAAGTTCAGAATACTTTAAACGTAAAAATTGGAATTGGTTAATTAGTTCAGTAGTTTGATTGGTAGGAGAACTCACATGTGGCCTCGCTGCCACGTACATAAATTATCAGAAAAAATGAACATTTAGAATTTAATAAACTGATGAAAATATCCGATCCCTTATCTTACCCGTAAAAAATAACTCGTTGGATCATGTGTAAATCGTCTTCCACATTGCACAGAAAGGTAGACTACATGGAATAATGTAGAAACACATGTGTGATAACAAAAGTATACCTTTCTTGTGTACTGTATCTCAAGCCTTGAATTATTATGTACCCCGTGAAAACTTGAGTTATCATTCCTGGAGGATTTTATAACTTGGCATCAACGGGACGCAAGTGATCAATTCTGCCTAATAAAATGGCATCAATGAAGTATTTTCTGTCAGTGGTACTTCAAATTTCTGGATCAGTAGATCTTCTGAAGACAAAAAATAATGTAGAACTTCATCAAGTGGTCTCACACAGTGACACATTTGCTCGACAATTTTACTCGGTGAGTCATTGAATAATTAATATAGTCATTAAATAATTATGTTGTCGACATGCAAACTTTCTAATGGAGGAGGTTGACAGATTCGAATTCAAATGAAATTTAATTCCATAATGAGTTAATGAAGAAATCGTTGAATACTTTTTATGTAGGCACGTGGAGCGGAAGTCGAAGGCAATTTTGTATCCTCACCCATCGGTGCATTGATAGCTCTTTCCATGCTGGCTTATGGAGCTAATAAAAATTTGCCGAATCGATTGGAAAGAGATTTATTATTCTGTACGAACAAGAGTCTTCAAAATCATGGCATGAGGGCTCTCGTAAATATTCTCGTAAGTTATTCGTAAGACAGAATTTTCTTGACGTTTAATATAATTAAATGACACTATTTGTTCTTTATCGATAGCATCTCCCTGAACGTTCGCAAATGAGCAGTATAATTTTCGCGGATGGTGGAATGGTCATAAATCTGGGATTCCAGTTAGCTATGGTCGGTATTTTCCAAACTGAAATTAAAACAGTCAATTATAGTGATCCACAAGAAGCCATCAATACTATTAATACCTGGTGGCATAAAAAAGCAGAAAGCGATGCGTATAACATTATCAGTCCAGGTTTGTAATCAGCGTTATTGTTCTTATCCTACGGATTTCATTGACGAGTTGTCTATCTCTTTTTATACAGATGATGTGAGTAACAGGACAATTCTGGTACTCGCCAATGTTATTGAGATCAACTCTTATTGGGCAACGACATTTAACAAAACCGAAAACCAATTACATTCTGTGTATGATGACAATGGAAGAGTCCATCATTATCAATCGATGCATACTTCACAGATATTAAAATACCGACTTTTCAGGGACGTTGGAGTTGTATTTGTCGAGATACCTTACGAGGTGCACCCATTTTTTGTGCTGAGGCTCTTTGTTTGCTCCTATAATAAAATGTTTAGCATTACAAGTTACGTATATTGTTGTTATTTTGCAGGAGGCAGATCTGAGCTTAGTATTGATCATGTCCAAGAATGCATCCGAAACGACTATTCTTGATCACCATTTTAATCTCGATGTTCTCTTCAATATGTCACGGAATGGCAGTGTTGATTTTGATTTGCCTAAATTCAGAATCGAATCGACAATCGATTTGACCAATTTTTTAAGGTCAGCAGGCATTCGTGGGGGACTTGACAGTTTTACTAGAATAACTTCTCATCCCTTGAAGTTTTCCAGCATAAAGCAAAAAACGTACATCGAGATTGACGAAGAACGTACCAGAGCAATGGCCGTCACGATTATTACAAATGATGAGTCGAAAAGTAAAAAACCTGAAGGTATGACGATAAAAGGGCTTTTAATATTTATGATGATTAATAATAATATCTAATGAATGAAAATTATTTCTAGCTCCAGAAGCGCCCGTTCATTTCAAAGCCGAAGTGCCGTTCTACTTTGCGATTGTCAAACATTTGAATTCACAAGATTATGTTGTCTTATTCAATGGACACTACAAGAATGTTAATTAAACAAATTTATATGTTGACCCGATTAATTTTGACGTGTGACTTTTCAATTCGTTGGATTATCAGAATTACTGGAAAGATAGAAAAAAAATTATTTCGTAAGATCTCATCTTATCCCCCTGCCATAATGATCCTAAAAAATATTAGTCAAAAGATACTTTATCTAAATGTGTGAACAGTTAGATAAAGGTGTGGATAGATAAAGTGTTATGGGTAAGCTGATTAGAAGCTGAAAGAAGAGCGATTATGTGATTGATTGTTACGAAAATATTTTCACAGGTCGAAAGTCGATCCAGAGTCGGCAAAAAATCCAGCTTGTTGAGCTATCCTCTACGTCACACCGGAAATGTCAAGAAATTACGGAGTCGTCGTACTGTAGTTCAATTTATACCGCAATTATCTTCCTCCCCCTGTTTAAAACAGATGTATTTTTAGAGAAATAAATAAGAAGAATAAATTAACAATTACATCTTTATGATCTTTTTATGTGGCTTCCAACACGTGCGGTGGAAATTTTCATTGAGTCTACTAAAAATTTCATCCGGAAAACCGTCAGGCCCGAAAGTGGTATCCCGAGTGTAACGTTCGGGGCTTTGTAAATATTGAAACAGTTTTATTAATTATTTTAACGATCCATTGAATAATGGATGAAAAATAGCAATCAGTTATCTTCTTACCAATGGACAATTGTTCATTGGTTCGTGCGTAATTAGTATTACACATTGTATAGAAAGATAGACTGTATGGAATGACGTATGAATATCTGGGCGATAACAAAAAATATATATTTCGTCTGTGAGGTATCTCAAAAGTGGAGTTATTACGTGCCCCGTAAAACTTTGAGTAACCACTCTTCTGGAGGAGTTTCTAATTTAGACATAAAGCTGTTGATCAGGAGAAATAAGTGATCAATTCAATCTAATAAAATGGCAGCAGTAATATATTTTCTTTCGGTGGCACTTCAATTTTGTGGATCCCTAGGTTTTCTTCACACAAAAAATGTAGAGGAACTTCATAAAGTGGTCTCACACAGTGACACATTCTCTCGACAATTTTACTCGGTGAGTAGTCATTAAATAATTAATTTGTCGATATGCAAAATTACTAATGGAGGAGGCTGACCGATTCGAATTCAAATGAAATTTAATTCAACAATGAGATAATTAAGAAATCGTTAAATACTTTTTATGTAGACACATGGAGCGGAAGTCGAAGGCAATTTTGTATCCTCACCCATCGGTGCATCGATAGCTCTTTCCATGCTGGCTTATGGAGCTAATACAATTCTGACGAATCGATTGGAAAAAAAGTTATTTTTCTGTAGGAACCGGAGTCTTCAGAATCGTGGCATGGCGGCTCTCGTGCATATACTCGTAAGTTATTCGTGAGACAAAATTTTCTTGACGGCCAATACAAATAAATTACACTATTTATTCTTTATTGATAGAACTTCCCTGGAGATTCGCGGATGAAGAGTCGAATTTTCGCGGATAGCGGGGCGGTCATAATGCCGAGATTCCGTTCATCCATGTCCGACGTTTTCCAAACTGAGATTAGTAAAGTCGATTATAGTGATCCGCAAGAAGCCATCGATACTATTAATACCTGGTGGCATAGCCATGCAGAGAGTGATGCGTATGACATTATCAACCCTGGTTTGTAATCAGTGTAATTATTTTTATCCCACGAATTTCTGTGACGAGTTGATTATATTTTTTCTTATACAGGTGATGTGAGTAACAGGACGGTTTTGGTACTTGCCAATGCCATCGAGTTCAAAAGTCACTGGGCAACGGCATTTCATGACGAGGCAAAACATTTACATCCTGTCTATGATAACAATGGAAGAGTTCATCATCATCAAACGATGTATACCTTACAGAGCATGGAACATCGAGTTTTCAGACGTGTTGGAATTGTATTTGTTGAGATACCTTACAAGGTGCGTCCATTTTCTTGCGACAAAACTCTTTTGTTCTTCCTATAATACAGTTTTTGGTATTAAAAGTTACGTATTTTGTTGTTATTTTGCAGGAGGCGGATCTCAGCTTAGTATTGATCATGTCCAGTAATGCATCAGAAATGACAATTCTTGACCACCATTTTGATCTCGGCGATCTATTCAATATGTCAAGGAATGACCATGTTGATTTTAATTTGCCTAAATTCAAAATTGAATCGACAATTGATTTGACCGATTTTTTAAAAGGACCGGAAATTAATGACAGATTTAACAGTTTTACAGGAATAACTTCTCGTCCCTTGAAATTTTCCAGCATAAAGCAAAAAACGTACATCGAGATCGGCGAAAAAAGTACCAAAGCAATGACCGTCACGATTATTACAAATGATGAGTCGAAAAGTCAAAAACCCGAAGGTATGATCATAAAAGGACTTTTAATATTGATTATCATCAATCATAATATCTAATGAATGAAAATTATTTCTAGCTCCAGAAGCACCCGTTAATTTCAAAGCCGGCGTGCCGTTCTACTTCGCGATTGTCAAACATTTGAATCCCCAAGATTATGTTGTCCTGTTCAATGGACATTACAAGAATGTTAATTAAATAAACTATTATGTTGGTCCGATTAATTTTCACTTGTAACTCTTCAATAAAAAATTGTTTGAATTATTAGAATTAGTAGAGAGATCGGAAAAAAATCGTTTTGCACGTTCTCATTTTCCTGTCATAATGATGATAAAAAATATTAATCAAAAGATCTTTTATCTTAATGTATGAACATATGGTAGGTTAATGCCTAGGGCTAGTGAACTGTGCATACGGGGTTCAATCACTCTTCACAACTTTGCGCATGAATGCGTTTTCATAAATGATTTGACCTATAGATCCAAAATTATATTTGTGATTGTTCGGGCAATTATGTTCAAATAAAAATTCGAATATTCATTATCTGGTTTTGATATCATCGGTGTAAAATGATGTCAGGAATGGGAGTTTCCAATTGTTCGATTTCGATCACATTCGGAATATTCGCCGGTAAGTTAAATCTTATTGATAAGTTCCAGATGTTTCCCCTTATTTCTCGCTTGGTAGGGGCAATTGATCGATCTCGATCTTCTCAGAGGATTGTTCGTGGAGAGGACATCGGTACCGGGGAATTTCCGTTGACAATGGTTTTGCAGCGATTATCAGGAAATCATCTCTGCGGAGGGACTCTGATCAGCTTCAGGCATGTGCTACCGACTGCTCATAGCTTCACCCTTAGCTCCAAACCTGACGGAAATTTTTCGGTAGCATGTGGATCCTACTGAAAAAATTGCCAACATGTCGAAAGAACTAATTATCTACCGTGGAACGGTTAATTCTGGACTTCCTCATGGATAAGCTGATTAGAATAGACTCTGCGGCTTCTACTAATGATTAGAAGAGCGATTACGTGACTCATTGTTACGAAAATAGATGGAAAATTGATGCGAAGTCGTCAGAAATTCCAGCTCGTGAAGCTGTCACCTACGTCGCACCGGAAAAGTCGAGAAAGCCCGGAGACGTCATGCGGTATTTCAATTAATTCAATTCACTGTTTAAAACAAATGGATTTTTGAAGAAATAAATAATAAGAATACATGAACGGCGTCTTTATGATCTTATGATCTTTCTTGTGACCTCCAACACGTGCAGCGGAAATTCTTAAACTTCTGTGTCAGCTAATAAAAACGTTTCATTGGTGGCTTTGTAAATATTGGAACAGTTTTTTTTTCATTATCTTACCGATTCATTGAACATTGGATGGAAACGTCATATGCTGTGGATGACGCCAATCTCTGTCACTGAAATAAATTACCAGACTAAATTCATATATAGACCTTAATAAACCGATGAAAAATAGTGATCCCTTATCTTCTTACCGTTGGATCTTGCGCGACTCGTATTAAAGACTGTCCAGAAAGCTAGACTATAAGGAATTACTTACCAAAACATGTGTGATAAGAAATAATATAAGTTTCGTCTTCGGCGTTTCTCAAATCTTATTATGTGCCACGTACAAACTTGAGTTGCCACACTTTTGAGGAATTTTGTAACTTGGGCATGATCGATCAGAAAAATATTTAAGTGCTTGATCAGGGAACACAAGTGATCTATTCAGTCTAATAAAATGGTACTGATGTATTTTCTGTTGCTGGTACTTCGAATTTGTAGATTGCTAGGTCCTTTTATTCCTGAGAACGTATATGAGATAGGGCCTCATGAATTGTCCCGAAGGGACACATTCGCTCGACAATTTTACACGGTGAGTAGTGATTAGATAATTAAGTAGTGAACATGCAAACTTACGAATCCAAGAGGCTTACAGATTCGAATTCAAATGAAATTAAATCCAGCAATGATATAAAACAGAAATCGTTAAATAATTTTTATGTAGACATACGGAGTGAACGTTGAAGGCAATTTTGTATCCTCACCCATTGGTGCGTCAATAAGTCTTTCCATGCTGGATTATGGAGTTAATGAAAATCTATCGAGTGTGTTGGGAGAAAAATTGGTTTTCAGTAAGAACGGGATACTCCAAAAAGAAGACACGAGGGCTCTCGTAGATGTACTCGTAAGTTATTCGTGAATTTAAATTTTATTGCCGTTCAATACAAATAAATTACACTATTTATTCTCCATCGATAGAAATCCCCTGGACATTCGCGAATGAGCAGTCTAATTTTCGCGAGTAAGGATCTGCAGATAAAGACGGAATTCCGTTTCGCTATGCGCAACATTTTCCAAACTGGGATTACAAAAGTCAATTATAGCGATCCACAACAAGCAATCAATACTATTAATGACTGGTGGCATGCACAATCAAGGGGAAACAACCATGACATTATCAGCTCTGGTTTGTAATCAGTTTAATTATTTTTATCACATGTATTTCATTGGCGACTGAATGATTACTTTTCTTACAGATGATGTGAGTAACAACACGATTTTGGTATTTGCCAATGTTATTGAGATGAACAGTTGGTGGGCAACGCCATTGCCCTGGTTCGACAACCAAGTACGTAGTAGCTACGATAAAGATGGATGTATTCATGATTATCATATGATGAATGTGTCAAAAAAATTAAAACATGTAAATTTCGACAAAGTTGGAATTTTATTTGTCGAGATGCCTTACAAGGTATGTCCACTTTTTTTTGTGCCAAGACTCTTTGATTACTCCAACAACAACATTTTTGGTATTTAAAGTTACGTATATTGTTGTTATTCTGCAGCAGGAAGATCTGAGCTTAGTATTGATCATGTCCAAAAATGCATCAGATTGGACAAATCTTGACCGCCATATTCGTCTCGACACTCTCTTCAATATGTCAACAAATGCCAATGTTAATTTCCATATCCCTAGATTCAGAATTACCTCGACAATCGATTTGATCGATATTTTAGGCGGAGCTGCCTTTCGCGAGGGATTTAACAAATTCAACAGAATAGCTACCGATCCCTTCAAAATCTCCAGCATAAAGCAAAAAACGTACATCGAAATCGACGAAGAAAACACCAGAGCAATGGCTGTCACAATAATTACAAACGATGAGTCGAAAAGTGAAAACCAGGAAGGTATGACGACAAAAGACTTGTCAATATTATGATGATCAACAATATCTAATGAATGAAAATTATTTCTAGCTCCAGAAGCGCCCGTTGATTTGAAAACCGACGTGCCATTCTACTTTGCGATTATCAAGCGCTTGAATTTATCCAAAGACTTTGTTGTCCTGTTCGATGGACATTTCAAGAAATTTGATTGGTAAATGTACAACTTAGCCCCAAGAAATAAATGTCATCAAAACCATGATTGTTTCCATATTAACTAAGTAAGTCTCTTAAAAAATACAAGGCATATGGAGGAGAAAGTGCGACAAGGACAATATAGACGAAAAAAAAAATAAAGCAGTGCACGTCGCTAGAATTAGCGGAGAGATTGAACAAGAATTGTTTTCCACGGTCTTATTTTCTTCTGTCGTAATGACGTTACCAAATATTAGTTAATAGATACTTTATTTAAATGTGTGAAAATATGATAGGTTGTTACCCAGGGCTAGTAAACTGCGCACGCGCGGTCAATCAGTCCTCACAACTTTGCGTATTCATAAATTATTTGACCTACATAAAAAATTATATTTGCGGAATTTTATTCGTACAGATGTTCTTCCAATCGTTATCTGAATAATTGACTGACGTTCGGGTATTTAAACCGTAGGAAAAATTCGAATATTCACCATGCGGTTTTGATATCGCCGATGTAAAATGGTGTCACGACTGAGATTCTTCAATTTAGCCATATCGATAGCATTCGGAATAATCGGCGGTAAGTTGAATTTTATTGATTATTTCTCCTGTCGGGATCTCGACCAATAAAAAATACGCATTTGATCTAAGTTGGGGCAAACGATAATTTTCCAGCTGTTAGGGTATTATTGCTGATAAGTTCCCCAGTTCTTACAGGGAGAGAAATATTTAGTAAAAATTACGGAACTTTTCGATTACGGAGTCGATTCGAAAAATTTAAGTGACGGTATCGTAATTTTTCATCGATAATTCAGATAAAAAATATGAAACACGGCAGAAAAATTCCGTAACTTTAGATAAAAATTACGTGACAGTTCCGTAAAATTTCCGACAATCACATTTCGCTCCAGAATTACGGAAAATACACGTAATTTTTATTGAATATTTCTCTCTGTGTACTTTAATTCTCGTTTTGCAGGGGCTATTGCTCGATCTCCTCAGAGGATTGTCCATGGGAAAGACATCAGTATCGGGGAGTTTCCCTCGACAGTAGTTTTGCAGCGATTATCAGGGAAACATCTCTGCGGAGGAACGCTCATTAGCTTCAAGCATGTGTTAACGGCTGCTCATTGCTTCACCCGTGGCTCTAAACCCGTGGGCAATTTTGATGTAGCACCTGCTTCAGGAATAAAAATAATTCCCGGTCATGACCAGTTAACCGACAGTAATAACTTGAAATATTACCTCGCTAGTCATATCGATATACATCCGCAGTGGCAAGGAGAAATCGATGATAGAAATTCAGAGGCAGATCTCGCGGTCGTGACGGTAATATCATAATCTGAGACACTTGAAAATTTATCTATGAAAAACAAAATTTTTAATAAACAGCCTTTGGTTGTTCATTATTTTTTTAAAATTTCATTTATTTTTTGTATTTCCTTAAACTTTAGCTCCAAACTGAAATTTCGGAGAACGAATTCCAAAAAATTTCTCCACTACCAAGTACCATCTTTGAACCCGATACTCTAGCTACAGCCGTTGGCTGGGGACTGACAGATGAAAAGGAATCGGGTTTACCATCTAAAAATCTCCAGGGAATCAGTCTCAAAGTTCTTGACACTAATTTCTGTAAAGCCCATCGGGATCCATTCCTTCCAAATAACGTAATCTGTGCGGAGGGGAGTAATCGTAAAGCTTCCATTTGTACTGTGAGTATCACCTATAGTTAAAAAATCCATTACGCTTGTGTTTCATATACTATTTACTCCCATTGCTTCGCTGGGTAAAATCTCGGATTACGAGTACCTATGACATAAAAATTTTTTAACTCCAGGACATTAAATAACACACACGAACATTAAAGTTTTAAATGTCCACTAGCTTTAATAATTGTCAGCTTACATTAAACATAGAAAGAGCATCCTTTGTCGGGAGTAATTATAAACTAAAATATAAAATATATAAAATATAAAATAAAAAATTTGACGGGCGTAGTGAGACCTCTGAACTCTATCAAAATAATAAATAACAATTTCATTTGATAATCGCAGTAAAAATATTCAGGTTGAAGAAGTCTCAGGCCGAGTGGTACAATCCTTGTTAATAATAATGTTAATAATAATTTATAATTTATTTTATTCAATGATGGTTTGGTTCACCGTTAATTTTTGATCATTCACAGGGCGACAGTGGTGGTCCTCTCTACAACACTAAAAAAGAAGTTATCGGAGTGATTTCCTACAGTTATGAATGCACTGGTGATTTCGCAAGTGTTTTTACCGATGTCTTTGCATACAAACAATGGATTGAACATATTAAAAATCATTAACCAATGAATTTTGAGATGCGATCAAATATATTGAATGCTATAAATAAATGATCATCATTGGAATAAATAAATTGTATAAAAATCAATCGATAGCTTCCACTTTCTGCAAATCACATTACTGACCACCTAATTCGATAAAATTGCCGCATTCAAGTCACACGAGCGAGACGTGTACACCCTGAGGCGATATCTTTCCACTTTTATTTTTCTTACCCAAAAAACTCGAGTCTGAGCAAACTGAAATCTGCGGTAAGTTATATTTCCTCCCCGAGGCGAACTCGGGCTTCATTTTGTGTTTGTACAAACGATTCAATTTTCCTAATTCGATTCGCCGCGGTCTATTTCATTGGCACGATAAACATTATCGAATACAAAGTACACACTACGTTTTATTCAATGACTACATTTCAGTGGTAATACTGCACCTGAAATTCCATAATATCCGTACGAAAATATTTAGTCCTTCCAATCACTGATTGTTGGTTTTTTAGAAACAATTTTACTGTATGACTTCACTTTCACTGTAAACGATAATTTATTTCCGTACATCACTGGAAGAGAGTGAACATTAATAATAAATATGTATTGAATTAAATATATTTACAACACTGCGTGCAATTTGGCTGAATACACGGTATCCCTGGAATGACAGATGGCAAATGGAATAATTCAGAATCACTGCTGTGTTCCCGCAATTGCTGTAATGCGTTGACATTAACGTAATTATTATATCCAACACCAAACATGCTATTGTCTAATTTATGAGACGAAGTTGTTTCAGAAACACAATTGCAGGGTAATTGATTCCTCCGCATGTTGAGGAAGTAGTAGCTGTCAGTGTATAAATTTCTGGGAAGACTTCCCGGATAGATTGACGGTAGAGAAAGGACAGAACTTGAGGATTTAGCTTCAGATGAAGTTGAAACTAGGGGATGAAAAGCGGAATATGGTGAGCCGATGAAATTGCTGTTGCTTGCGAAGTACTCGATGGCCTTCAGAAGATCCTGACCGCATCTCTGTAGGACCAGTTGAATCACCGATAATTTAGTGCTTGGAAAAAGCCTTGCGAGGGTTTCAATGGAACTCTCTGGTACATCAGATGTATTTTGCACTGGGTTTTTAATGTCTTCTTTCTGAGAGTTGGATGGAGCCTCTGGGTGATGTGCATTCCCCTGAATCTGGGAAATTCCAAATTGATTGTTATGACAGATAATATTGCAGACCTATTGCTACAAAGTCCTCACATGAGATTTATCAGCTGCAGAATGCTCTCCAAGACCTTCAGCAGAGTTATGCTTATTTGAATTATCAGAGATAAATCTCGATTCATTTGGTTGACATGATATCGGGGTGAAGGTGTTAGGTGCAGTGACAGACATGCCAAATATTTTTCCAGGAGGTAGGTGATTGAACTCCTGTCCCGTCGCCACGTTTGCCATCGTCAGGGCGATAGCGTCTTCAGCGGCTTGTTGCCTCTTCAATGCAACCTGCAGGTTTTTATTTGTCTGGATTTTCGATTCATTGTTTGCTGATATCAGATGAATCTGAGGGGATATTTGTGGAGGAACGTCCAAGGGGTGAATTGAAATGCATAATGTGGATTTAAGGTCAAGTATCATAATGTCTGAGCAAACATGTACAATGAAACACAATCCAAGACCTTAATGGATTCCACTTGAGAGCAGTATGTCATTGGGGGAAGAATGATGTCTCAAGGAAATTTTATCAGTGAGGGATAATCATCTTTATCATTATTTACGATTATTTACGATTATTTCTGATGATTTATAATTATTTATGATTATTTACGATCATAATTTATGAGGAATTGAGTTTATTCACAATTGAAAACCTGTTGAGACGGTTTCGTATTTTCATTGAATAAAATTATTACCTGAGCCGCCATTACTCTTTGTCGTTCAGCGATGAGAGCACATTTTGCACAGAGACAATCTCTGTACCGACATTGTCTCTTGTGTCCCCTCAGCCAAGAAATCAATCCATGATTTCGACATCTTGCACATTTTGGTCGTCTCTGCTTCGCATCAGGTACATCACTGTCTTTATATTTTTTCAATTTTACCCGCAACATTGAATCCTCAGCAATCGAGTATTAGATTTAGAGAACGATATAAATTTGTTTGGCAATCTCTCTCGCTGTTAACCACTGACTGAAAATATCTTATCAATCCATCTGGGAGATGAAGAAGTTCAAGTCGAAAAGACGCTATTGCGCGGTTTCGAGGTGTTAAGACATGCCTCCAGCATTTCCAGAGCCGGTGGAAAGATAAACAACCGTTGGACCACCCTTTCCTGGGATTGGCTCAGACTTTGTTTACTTTCTATGCCACTCCTACTGGTGTGTAACAACTTCTTTCAGCCACTAGATATTTTTCAAATTTTATTCATAGATCGATTTAAGATGGGCGATAGGCTGATGAACAACAATTTCAATTAAAAATTTATTATTCCTTCCAGTTTTCGTAAATGTATTAAAAAAGCGGAGAACGCGATTCACCGAAAACTCATTACTAAAAAGTGTTATTAAACGATTTTATGATGATTGAAGAATTATAATTAATTCTGCACTATTTATCTCATTTCCTAAATACCGACAATCGATAATGATCTTGCAGTATCCGTCCAGGAGAAGTCAGTAAGAATTCGTGGAGCTTACGAAATCTACGAGAAGATGGTACTGAGAGTCATTCCCAGGATATACTGCCACCTAGAGCTGAATCCTCTCATCATCCAGCGGGAAGTCCATATTTCGGAGATTTAAAAACTGAAGTGGAAGTCAACAGAAAGTAAATAGAAAAATAACTAGCTTTCTATAACTGATAAGTTGATAAATTTAAATCTAGGCATCGAATAATTCGCTTGGATCCTCTCTAGGGAAAATAATAAAGTGACTTCCTGGGGGATTAGAAGTATTTTTTTTGAAGTTTTTGGATTGGTCAATGTAGTCCTGTGAAATATGCGAGGGTATTTATTTATCTGCCTAACGAAGTGTCCCCGTGGGGAGTTGCCCATACTTGGTACCTCACCATCCACGAGGTACTATCAGGATCAGGACACGTTGTCCCCATGGTCCACCCATTCTTCCCGTAAACACCAAGGTGGATTTATTGCTGAGATCCAACCACTGGAATTCACCTTCGGGAGGGATTGCGCCTTGTCAGTCAATGTTGTCTCCCTTATGGTCAAGAGGCATTTGGCCCCCAAGCTGTACTGTCTGTACACTCATGACGTACCGTGTGACCATCATTGCCCCCTCGTCCTCTCCCCTTTACCATCGGTTTTCTCTCTGGGCCATTAAACTCGAGACGCGCGACACGACACACGGCTAAACGTAAAAGGATTTGCGAAACGAGCCGACCAATGGTGAATTAAAAACGTGAGTCAGGGCCGTTCTTTTCGCCAAGGAAAAGTATCTCAAAGATCGATATTATTTTTAAATCAAAATCGAAGGTCATGATAATTAAATGAAAAGAAAAAAGAACAGGATTACCCGGAATTCGTCGAGCAATTATTTTTTCTTAATTTCTCAATCCACGGAGTGATAAATTTTTTTTACTGACAATTTCTGCGAATGAAATTCATTACGTTGCACCATATACCGCCACTTATCGGGATTCCTTGGAAATTGTAACTATAGTATCCGTTATTCTTCACAATAAACCCTTGAGTTGCTCTATCAATTTTTTATCAGAGACCCCAAGACCGATTCTCACTCGTCAACACCACTTGACCATCTGTGACCATCAAAGAAACTCTTGGCTACAGGAATTTCTTTTAATGGTATCCATTTCACTGTGTCGCTGTAAAAATTAATGCAGAAAAATAAGTAAATAAGATTTTTTGAATCAAGTTGTCGAGTGTGATGGGGGTCGAGATAAAAAAGAATCAATCATGCCTTTTTCAGATGCGTTGAAAGTTTTTTTTTAAGAACCCAAATAAAAGCCGGAACTCAAAAGGGTTTTATATGAGGTCGTCGGATTGTGAAACGAAACATTTCTGATAGAAGGTTCGGTCATAAACTACCCTACATCCAATGAATTTGTAACATTTTATTAGCAACAAATGTGGATGCTGGGGACGAGTACTGATCCCGTCTACTTTGTACTTGTTTTTAATAGCCGATTTTGTTGGGTCTGAGCTTTGAATGTAAGTTGTTACGTGCTCAGTGGTTGCATCCATTTCGCGATAAATTTATGCCTGACGAACAATATGATGAGAGTGGGAAGAATACTTTACGATCAGCTTCTCCATTCGCTCCACCGTTCCTCTGTTCCGCTACAAAGTTGTCACTTTATGACGGGTTGAGACATTAAAATATCAGTAGGCTAAAATCCCAGAGGTGAATAGAATAATCCCAGCAATTAAATGAATAAATATTTTGGTAGCTCAATAAACCAGAGAAACGGTTGGATACGATTGTCAATAGAGATGACTAGAAAATTCACTTCAGTCTTGTTCAAGTTATTTATAAATATTTCGATAATTTTTCTGGGATTTTCATGCGTGGAATCGGTAAAGATATCACCTTCAACCGTAAGAAAGTTGAATACGATTTTTTTTCTCCATTCACTCGAATTCCTCGGGATAGTGATGAATAAAATCCTCTCCGACAGATTCGGATCTCAAACTCTTAGAAATCCATGGTTTTCTATTTTTTGGAAACCCTAGAAGCATTTCCCCTTTCGATATTGCGTCAACAACTCCAGTATTATCTACCCGAATTTTTTTTATAGCTCTGCACTACCTGATGGGAAAGGATGACAGGGGTGGTGGCTTTTGTTGGTCTTTCTGAAAGGATATCTCGGGTTTTTATAGATTTCTTCGTTCAAACTTGAGTAGATCGTAAAAATTTCAGTTCCCAGAACGGTTCAACGCATTAATTCCAATGCGAAGTTCTGCCATGATTGATAAATAAATTATAAAATTGAATAATATTAAAATTTCGCACTCGCGGAATTACATTAGAATCCCATTATAATCACACCCTCAATTTCTGTCTCAATATTTCGTTAAATTCTTGGCAGAATGAAGCCGAAAAATAAATTTCCCTCCTATTGGAATTTGCTGTGAGAAAATTCCGTTTACGATAGCAGTGAGGGCGTGGTGGTGGTAGTGGCATAGATTGGAATTCCCCGAATTCGCTTCTCCTCTAACCCCCTGTGTACGTCCATAACGAGAGTCTACTTCAACGAGATTACCCAGAATAATATCTGGTAGAGCTTTGAACGCATCCAATTTTCATAAAAAAAAATCAGGACAGCGTGATGAATGCGTTACAAAAAAATTATTGAACATTTTCCTGTTGATCTTGCCTCGTATTTCCAGGTTTTCTAAACTCAGCAAATGAATGCCTCTCGTACGAGGGGAAGCCGAGAATAAAAGACGCGGATGGTTAATGAGTAATGCCGAAGGCTCAACTGCATGTTTTATTCATTCCACGAGATACGTAGAAGCGAAAACGTCGGACTGTCGCTTTTACGCAATGGGGTATGAAGGAGAGAAACAAAATACTGGAGATGTATGCACAGTGGTTACTCGTCCTTTTTTTTTCCCCCCTTTTGGACTTTTATACCATCCCGCCATATTCCATTTCCGGTTCGTCGAAGGTCCTGACTTCTGCTCGAGACGAATCATTCGGCTATCTCTACTTCCTGTCTGTGATCTATGTATTTTATTCCTCCATTTATCGATTCGTGTTGTCAACATTTGGAGAAAAAAATCAGTAATTCAAGAAATGGCAGTTCTCGAGATATGTGGCCTCGTCGATTAAACAGATGGACCGCCGATGTCTCCCTGAAATTATCAATAAAAGATGATGAATTGATAAACAATGAATTGATAAACAATGAATTGATAAACAATGAATTGAAAGAAACTCAACTCTTGGACGATGTGTTTTTTTTTGTCACGTGAATAAAATTCTTTTCCAGTTCAATTCAGTGATACACAAAGGAATCGTCACCGTTGGCCGAACTCCACATTTCTGAGGAATCAGTGGATTTTTTTTATTACTGAAAAATCGAGGGATTGAAATGAGTTGAATGGGGTGAGGGACAATGGACTCATTGTGGGAGGATTCTTTTTTACAGAGATCAGGCGAGCTTTCCTTTGTAGCAAAAATAAGGTAGGGGTAAAGAATCCGAAAAAGGATGGTAGAGAAAAAAACATCCACAACAGCTGTGAGTGTTGAGGGAAGCTGGAAAATCGAATGGGTTGTGAAATCCTCTTAATAAATACCTAATAAAGCAGAGTCACTCGTTAATGAGACCGGTTGCAATTAAAATTCCCACAAATTTCGAAAGAAACTGGTGACTGAAGATAGAATCTGTCAGGCACTCCAGAAACCTCGGGAGTCCGTCAAAGAGTTTCATTCATCTGTTGAATATAGCGGCAAACATCACTTGGTATGAGACACGTGTGCCAAGAATCTCACCATAGAAATTGTACAATCTCCATGGAATTTATGTTCTTTTCGGCGCTAGGTCAAACGCGCTACTGGGGAGACATGTCGTAATGCCGGTTCGTTACGGGTTTTTATGTTTTTTCAGATTATTTTAAATCTCCACTTGAAAACTCTCAGAAACACTATAATTACGTTTTTCCGCTCTTTCGCTCAATCAATGTTGATCATCTTCCACAGAGAAACAAGACTTCATTGAAGGGGGCCCCGGTCTTTTGGTAATTTTGTTTTTTTGCTTCATGGAATTCAAATTCATTGAGATGTCTCGGAAAAAATGAATTCCCCTCGGAGTTAGATTGGTTCATTCAACGTGCAATGAATCCTTCTTATTAAATACCTCATTGTGCTCGTGATGACGAGTGAAGAATTCCATTGAAGAATAAGTACCGATCATTCAGCTGACAGGATCAACGCATCGTTAGTGTCGATTCTCCAGCTATTCATGATGCATTCGTGTTATTTATTTATTCACACATTATCCGATCGTGGTAGCTCTATCCGAGGTATCAGTGGTCTTGAAAGTGCCCGTGGAAACAGAAAAAAATCACGAAGAATCATCATAAAATGATCTCGAGTCCCGGTGAAAGGTGAGTTTGTGTGAGAAAAATTGA